GTGAGACAGCATTTTCTGAGCAGCAGATTCCTTAATGTGGCTGTCGTGGAAGGGTAACACCACACCCACAGAACTTCTCCATTTGTGTCCTTTTCGATCAGCCCAACCCTGAGCATCAGCTGAGTGTCTGCCGCCCCAGCCGCAGCCATCTTCTGCCCTTTCATTCCTTTTTCTACGTGGACAGCTCTTGCTTCCCAGCTCCCCCAGCGACCCCAGACCCCTAAGATGAAGCCCTCTTGACTCCCTACACATCACCCTTGCTTTGCACCCTGCACTCACTACACACCCAGAGCTTCCAACCTGTCTCATCCCCACTCCCAACATTTTGTGGGCTCTTGAGGAATCATTGCCTTGTTGGACATTTTATGCACCATGTTTTAATGTACATAAAGAGCAAATTTTTGAACAAAAGTGATCATAAAAGGGATACTAAAGAATCGCAAAATATTTGGCTTTAACTCTTAAAATATGATTTAATTGTATTTTTAAACTTTCACTTTGTTGCTAATCAGTGAGAAAATTAGATTGTCTTAATGGGATAACTAATGGTATAAAACTGAATTGTTATTTCAGTTGTTATAACCAACCTTGATGCTTCAGTGTAGGCCCATCTGCAGGAGTGAGTTCTGGTGGGTCCTACTGAGCGCTTGGAAGTAGAGAGCAAAGTTTGCACATCACTTTCTTAAGAGGACCTCGATCCTCTGTCAACCCCTGCCCAGGTGGTTTTCTCACCTGCAATATTGGGCCTTCTCCACCAGGTGTCACCCTCCCACCAACATCGGAAAGCTTCTTCCTTTCAGAACCTCCATTCTCTGCTGAGCGGCAAGGGGGACCGGTCCAGCCTGTACCTGGTAGAGGGGCCAGGAGATTCCAGTGCACGAGGCAGGTAAGCGTGGACACAGATGGTCTAGAGAGTAAACTCTGAGATGGCCAGTGGAGCTATAAGCTCAATTCCTTCCTGCCTCAGCATCATGGTCCCTTTAAGAGGCTGCCTGTGCCTCCCCGTTAACAAACCCTGTCTGGAGAGGCCAGGTGGAGCAGTAGCACCTCTGCCTTCATCCTGTGCAGGGGGCACTGAGAAGGTGTGGGATTCCAGAAGGGGTGAGCTGCCAGGTTGGATTCCTCTCTCCTTCTGCTGTCTGACAACATCTTGGAATCAGATGTTCTAGAGTTTTCTTAGCCTAGCAAAGATCTGACTAAACCTCCAGAGACAGGGGCCCCCAGAGAGGCCCTTGACCCACACGTACCTCTTTGCCGAGGCCCTGTAGGCTAGGTGCTCTCACCCAGTGCCCCCTCTGTTAACTCCTAGAAATGTCATAGGAAATTACAACTTTCGTCGGCTCCTCGGCTTCTCAGAAGTCTCTACCTAAAAGTCCAGACACCACCGCTGGGTGGGGGAGCTTTCTGGTTCCGCAGAGGCACTGAGAGCCCGGGGCAGGCGTGGTCTCCACCCCAGGCTGCTCTTTCTGCCCTTGCGGTCAGTGGGGCCCCAGCCTTCAGTCCCGGACTCTGAAGTCTGAGACGCCTTGGTCAACTTAGAGCCAGGGAAGGGCTGGGCCCTTGTCCTCACTGTGTCTCTGGTCCCCTCGCAGGCTGGCCAAGGCCCCTCCCCGGCGGGCCCTCAGTGTGGAAGACGTGGGTGCCCCCAGCCTGCCTCGCACCGTGGGCCGCGTGGTGGAGGTGTTCCCAGATGGCACGAGCCAGCTGCAGCTGCAGCGCTCCTCGGAGGGCACTTTTGGCTTCTGTGTGGCCTCTGGGGATGGGCGCCGGGACTCAGGTATGCCTCTCCCCTTCCTCAGCAAACCCAGTCTTGCCTCTTGGCTCCTGTTGGGTGGCTTCTGGCCTTTGGCTGAGCAGCGGAGCTTTGCAGATTCAAAATCTGCAGGACTGGAGTTCGCAGGAGTCCGCACCTGCAGACCCTGCCGGCAGCTGTRCAGCCCTGAGGGGTGAAGTGCCCGGGGGTGGGGCTGCCAGGTTTGACTTGCTGTCCCTGCTGCTACCTAATGACATCTTGAAATCAGAATCTGGAAGGACACCTTTTCACAGGAGAGCGGTGGGAAATCACCCATACTTGCCAGGTCCCAGCTATCCCTTTGATGTGGTTGATATTTCAGCAGCTCCCCTCTCCCTCCGGGTCTGTCTGGGCATGTGGAGCCTGCCCGCCTGCCCGCCCGCCTGCCCATGCCACTCTCCAGGTTCCTCCCTTGGGGCTGGCTTCTGTGGGTCATGGTCAGGTGGACCCTGGCTCCAGACTCCTGGCTGGGGCCTGTGGGTCTTGATGCCACACTGGCCGTCGGGAGACCTGGCCCTCACCTTCCCCTGGCATTGCTCAGTACCAGCCATCCAGGAGTCTTTCAGAGCAACTCAATTCGTGTGGGCCTTTGCCCAAGGTCTGTGGCCCAGAGTGCTGCCCAGGCAAGGGAAAGCTCAAAGCTCTTCCCCAGGCGAGGTGAGGAGGGAAGGAGGACAGGTACTCGGAGGAAGGGGAAGGAGGGGAGGGAGGGAGCCATGACCCAGAAAGACATTCTCAGGGCCTGTGTCACGGGGCCCTGCCAGGGAGGGTTAGTGCTTGCTTTATCTCAAAGTTGTTTAGCCTGGAAAAAAATCTGCCTGCTCCCAAGTCTGCAGACGGCACGAGCCCCGGCACCTGTCCCATCCTTCATTATTTGAGCAGCTACATATTGAACACCTGCCAGGGCGGGTTCCAGCAGTACGTGGAGCAGACAGAACCCGGCCTCTGAGCTCACATTCCAGGGAGGGAGTTGGGCTGTGTTCACAAAAGGTCTGCCTTGAGAATCACGGATGTGGGATGTGTATGTGTGTGACCTTACAGGCCTCGCGTACCTCAGTGAAAAATGTAAGGTAGCATAGACACGCTTTTTAAAGATGACACCGGAGCAGAGACAGGAGGAGCACATTGGTGTCAGGGGAGAAGCATTCGGGGCAGAGAGAACAGCAAGTGCCAAGTCCTGAGGAGGGGGAGTGTGGGCTGCTGGAGGAGCTGCCAGGGACTCAGGCTGGGGCCCAGCTCAGAGAGGTGGTGGCAGTGCTGCCCTGAGTGACTTTGGCTCTCCCACTGTGTGAGACGGGAGCCACTGGGGGGCTTCAAGCAGAAGCGCAAAATTCTCAGATTGACCCTTGAGAAGGGCCTAAAGCCACTGTGTTGAGAATAGAGTCTGGTGGGACAAAGGCCGTCCTGGAAACCAGTTTCAGAGATGGTGGTGGCCCGGACTGGGGTGGCACCAGACCGAGAGGGTTACAAGGGGTGGATTCTGGGAGTCTTATAGGTAGTTTTGACTAAGTTCACTGATGGATTGGACATGAGCATGAAGACAGGTCCTCCCTACTCTAGACCTGGGGGCGGGGGGGAGCCAGTCCTCACGGGGCGATGGCATTTGTGAGCACAGACTGAGCCTCATCCAGCCCTCCCCAAGCCGTCGGCCGCTCCACCTTCCCTGTGCCCCCTCTCCTTAGATGAACCCAGAAAGGCTCCCAGCAGGCCCTGCGGAGCCAGAGAGCCCTGGCCTGGGTGTACTTCAGGGCCCCTGCTGTGAGGTGACCTTGAGCAAGCAACTTTCCCCTCTGAGCTCAGGTCTCTAACAGGTGGGATGAGGATAACAGAACCAATCTGGAAGAGTCCGAGGGGCATTCAGTAAGGCTGGGAGGAACGTGTCCAGCACTCTTCTTCTCTTCCCTCTGCAGAAAGAGAAGGTGTATTTGGGGAACAGAACCCCAGACAGGGACCAGCATGCTCTGCATGCAGCTGTCAATGTGCCCACGGTAAACACAGCGGGGCCCGGTGGCTCTCTGCAATCCCAGCCACTCAGGGGGCTATGGCAGGGGGATTTTAAGTTCAAGGTCAGACAGGGCAACTGAGGGAGATCCTGTCTCAAAAATGAAATTAATAAAAAGGACTGGAATGTGGCTCAGTGATAGGGTACCCCTGGGCTCAATCCCCAGCACCAAACATGAAACAGAGAACCCACAAAAGGGCATGCCCCCCTACCCCCTCCAAAGTCTCTTTGGCCCCTTTGTAGGTAGAGAGAGCCCTTCCCCCACTTCCTGTCCTTGAGCGGTGATGGGCAGGGTCTGTAACCACCAAGGGCTCCTTGGGCCCCCCTGGCCTGCTCCCCTCACCACACGGGTCCTCCCAGGTGTGCCCTGCTCCTGCTGCTGCAGTTGGCCCCTGGTGTCACACAGGGGTCCCTGAGCACAGGGAACGTGGCAGGTCTGGTGCTCCTGGCCTTCTCCAGCAGCAGTTACTTCCCTCAGAGGGCCGTGAGCTGGGGCTGGTCTGGCTCCTTGCTAAAAATGTCAGGATGCCGCTGTTAACTTGCTGGCTGTCACCTCCCATTCTACACCAGCCCGTGAGGACAGCTGGCTCTGCCTCTGCTTATAACTGCTGTAACAGAGACCCGCATCCTCAACTAAAGCCACCTCCAGAGAACAACAAGAGCCTACCAGAGCGGCCTCTGTCACGTTGGTTATGACCGAGTTGGGACACCTACCCGTCTCCCCCAAATGCCAGAGTACGGTCAGCATTCTTTTGAGGTCTATCCTTACTCCCCACCTGCTTCTCCCACTGTGCATCAGACGCTTCCCCAGAGTCACTGGGGTTCCCTCCCATCCCTCCCCATGCCACAGGTGTGGAGAAGAGCAAGCCAGCTGCCCAGATGCCATAGAGAGGAAGTAAAGAGAGGGCAAGGCCTGGCGGAAAGCCCCGTGCAGCCAGGAGGGCAGACGGGAGCCTTGCTGGGAAGGTTCAGCCTGTCCAAGAAGCAACCAAAGGGAGCGCCAGACCCCAGGSCGGGAACGGGTGCAGAGCCCTGTGTGCGGAGCAGGAACAGGGGCAGGGGCTCCTACACACCCCAGGCTCAGAGGCTGGCTCTGAAAAGCCAGACTCAGGCCGAGCTGGACCCGGCTCCTCCAGGCCACTAATCCAAGGGGCCATAGATGGTTTCAAACCAGACCCTGAAGAACCAGCCAGATGCCCCTTCGGGTTTTTGCTGTGCACCTGGTTCTAGAAGAGGAAGTGGAGACGGCCGTGTGTGGGCAGCTGTTCACGTCTCCCATGTGCAGCCAGTTGGGCAGGGCTGGCAGTGGGAGGGGTGGAGGCTGTGCTAGGCTGCCCAGCAAATTCCAGTGTGGTCAGCTCCACAAATGTTGTCCCTGAAGGTCATCCCCTGTAGTCCTCCAGCAGGTTGGGCTAGGCCCTTAGACCCCTGTGGTCACTCAGTACAGAAAACGGGTACTGGGATCCAGCTTTCCCTGAAAAAGCTGTGCCTCATTTAATCTCAGATGGAGCAGCTGATGGCGAATTTGAGAGGGTGTCCAGCCCCCAGCTGGATGCTTTTGTGCTGCTTGGCCAGCAGAGGACAGGGGAAGCCAGCCCAAGTCTTGCAGGGCCTGCCTCAGCAATGTGGGCTCCCTGAGAATCAGCGGCAGACAATAGGCAGAGAAGCACGGTCCCCTGTGCTTGCTGGGCACCTTCTAGACAGGCAATAATCATGCTGGCCAGGCGGGGCCTCGTCACATGGAGGGGAAGGGAGGGGGTGTGTGAAACAGAAGAGTAAGCCATCAAGGCTTCTGAAGTATTTTTCCTGGGCTTTTGCCCAGATGCCTCCAAATCCCAAGTGAGGAACTGTATGTGAGTAGGACAGAGGCCGGGTCAGTCCCGGAGGTACCATGTGGCAAACAACTGGGCCTCAGCTATTTCCACTAACACCCTGGCCATTGTGCTGGTCCTGTGCCACTCAGGGTGGCAACTGGATCTATTTATGAGTCCCACTGAGTTCCAGGAACCCAGTAGGCATTTAAAAAAAATTATTTTCTTCTTTATGTTACATCTTGGAAAAAAGATAAGATTAATTCAGTCACACTGGGGTGTGGATGAACAACACCATCTTCAAGTGTTTTCACTTTTAAAGAGGAGACAGAGAAAYGGGCTTATGCCGTGGAAGAGACACACTCTATCTCAGTATAAAGCCAGTTGTTGCAAGATAGAACCAGGTGTGTGTGCATGTGTGCGTGCGTGTGTGTGCACACGCTTGTGCGTGCGAGTGGCGGTGCCCCACACCAGCCCTCTCCCCCTGTGCTTGGACAGCACCTGCAGCGCTGCCAGCTCTGACGCGGGTCTCACTTGCTGCATTCTGCCTTGTTTTGCAGGGCTCTACGTGCAGGAGATGGCTGACCTGGACACTGCCAAGCTGTTCTCAGGGCTGCTCGGGGTGGGGGACGAGATCCTTGAGGTGAATGGGGCCAAGGTTGCTGGGCTAGGCCTGGCTCACGTCCAGGAGCTTCTGGCCCACTCAGAGAGTTTGTCACTACGTGTCCTGCGGCAGAGGCCTGTCCCACGGTGACCCAGAAGTGCAGCTGGAAGCTCTGAACTGCCCCGGGATTGAATGGCTGGAATGCACTGCAGAGATACTCTGTGGACCGTTTTAAACCACAGATGGTGGTGACATGTCGCCCCTCGGGCTATGGCAGGGCTTCTGTGATTGACTCCCCTAGGGCCAGAAATCTGTTTAAGATTATTAATTTATGCAGAACTGGGGAAAGAAAATCCTGATGTCCTTTTATGCTCGAGGTGATGGCAACATTGACTTGCCCCATGTTGGGGCATACTGGAGAGATTCCATGGGTCCTTTATTGGCCCTTGAGAACCGGTCCCATTCCCCTTCAAAGGTGCCCCTAGTCCCCAACACTGCAGAACCAAAGATGGAGGCCATATCAGCCGTGTCTCTCCTGGCTCCCACTCACCACCTCTGCTCCTCATCCAGAAAGGGACCCAGCATCCTGGAGTAATAGCCAGCCAGCCAGCAGATACCCCAAGCCAAACCTYCAAACCTGTGGCCTGATGAAGTACTCCACCCCCCGTCAGGGTGTGAGAGTATTTGGAAGATGTTATCTGGTACCCAGAACATTAAGAATTTCTAGGAATTTTTTTTTTAATGATATGTAAGGGGATATGTAGGGGGAAAGTGAAATCAAGGCCAAGTTCAGGGAAGTACAGCTGAGATGGGCAGAAGCTGGCCCGTGGGTCCGCCCCGCCCCCCGCCTCTGCTCCAGTTGCTGCAGCCAGGCYGGGAAGGCCGCGGCTTTGTTCTCCTGTCCAGCGTGCAGACAGGCCTGCAGCTGGTGTCCCCCTGCCCCCAGCTGCAAGCTCCCTATCCAGACCTCCCTGGTGGCAGCCGTGGGTGGGCAGGCAGGCAGCAGGGAGGCTGCAGAGAACAGGCGTGGCCATTCCACCTGGGTGCTTCCCACGCTGGGCTTGGATACGGCCAGAAGGGCTGGGGATTGCCCGTGTGTGGCCATGCGTCAGTCTTAAATTATTAAAATGCAAGCTGAAACTTCTCTGGGCTCACTCGGCTTTCACCAGCCCTTGGAGGCCTGGGACTGGGCAGAGGCAGGAGGGCACGGGGTGGCCAGTGAGCATGCCCGAGGCGAAGGCGGGGGAGGCCCCCAGGGTTAAAGTCACAGACCAAGTAGATGCAGAAGCCTCCAGGGAGAGGCCTAGGGCTGGAAGAGGGGCCCTGGGTCAGGCTGAAGATGGGGAGAGACAGCCCAGGGGCGTGGCTAGGTGCCGCTGGGGAGTGGGCTAGGCAGCCTAGAGCCATTTTGGAACTTGCCTGGTGTTAACTGTGGTAAATAATAATAATAACACAACACCACACACCATCAGCAGGCTGAAGTGAGTGTCCCAGGCAGCCTTCAGGGGCACTGGAGGCTAAAGAAGGCTGTGAGCGAGGAAGGGCCCTGGTGTGGGGAAGCAAGCCCGAGGGGTGATGACAGGTGCCCAGGGCCTCAGCCGCAGAACCAGTTAAAGTCCCTCTCACAGTGGCCTGGAGGCTGGGGCTGAGATTCCACCTGAGCCCAGAGGCTCAGGGCAGGGGTGAAGGAGGAAGAGCCACAAGCTTTAGGGGCTGGGCCCCTCCCCACCCAAAACAGCCCCGCAGTCGGAAACTACAGCCGAGGAAACCCTGGCAGCTCTGGCACCCCTCAGGGTCATGAAGCAGGATAAATTTCACCTTGAAAAGGACTTCAGGGCTGGGGTGCAGCTGGTGGTAGGGTGCTTGCCTAGCATATGCCAGGCCCTGGGTTCCATCCGAGCATGGCAAAGGGCAGGGGAGGGTTTCAGGGTCCAAAAGCACCCTGGGTTTTCTGGATGGCAAGGACCACCTGCCTTCCTGCCTGAGGAGCTGGGGTGGGGTAGCATTGGGAGGAGACAGGGAAAGTCTCTGGGGAGGAGCTCCTGCAGCGGCCACCCACYAGGGGCGGGCCAGGCCTTGCCATGTTTATCTAGTCCTTATTACTATTATTATTTTTACAGTATTGGAGATTGAATCCATGGTGCTTTACTGCTGGGCTAAATCTCCAGTCCTTTTTATTTGCCGCAGTCTGGCTGCAGCAAACTAACGGGAGGGGGGGGGGGTGACAAGCAACTTGTGTAGATTGATGCAGCAGGAGTGGGAGCTGTTTATTGTAGGACAGGAGGGGTAGATATACATTCCACACAGCTGATCTTCATTAACATAAACTCGATACAGCAGTCAACCAATAAGGAATCTCCACACTTAATGGCTCACTGGTGTGACTTCACAAACCACTCCCTCTGCAAAATGCCAGGCGCCATCCTGACTTGTTTACAGACCCTAACATTTGTTTTTTTAATTTTGAGACAAGGTCCTATGTTGTTGAGTCTGGCCTTGAACCTGCGATCCTTCTGCCTCAGCCTCCGGGGTGGCTGGGATTACAAGTGTGTGCCACCATGCCTGGCTTAGTCTCTAAGATAATTCTGCCGGGTAGGTCTTACTTACTGCCTTCATTTCACAGGGATGGAGAACCAAGTTCAGGGGCAATGGCCAGGCTCTCCTCCCCTACCCCTGTGATTTGGGACCCATTCTTCCCACTGCTGTGCCCCCTCTCCATGCCAGAATAGCCTAGAAGGAAGGGGAAAGGCACCCAGGACAGTGGGTGGGAGGCACCAACTTTGCTTCAGTGACCCCCCAGGGTGAAATAATGCCAGGCCTGATTGTGTGCCGGGAGGGACTCCGGTTCTTCCAACCTCCCGCCTGCCGCTGCCATTTGCTCTGCGTGGGGAGCTGCTGACACGGAGGCCTAAGGCCTCCTCACAAACAGGACCCTCAGAACCTTCCTGGTGTATTACCAGGAGCCAGGCCTGGTGCCAGGAGAGAATGGGGCCCTGCGAAGACACCCAGTCAAGCACAACATGGCCACACAGCCTGGGCTGGGCAGCAGAGGTCCTGGCCCCCTGTGGCCCTGAGGGAGGGCCCGCGAAGGTGGTTTGGGGGGAGGTGCGGGTCTTGTGAGGGAGTGGGAACTTAACTGCAAGGACAAGGCCTCAGGACAGAAAATCCAGAGCCTGTGTGAAGGTTCGGTTTCCCCACATAGGGTGACCCATGTCCCCAGAGGCTCACAGGATGCACCTGATACTGGGAACACACAGAACAGAGAGGCCCCAACGTTAGCCTCAGACCTGTCAGTCTTCGGGTGTGAGTGAGGGGAAGGAAGCAGTTCAAAAGCCACCAGGAGAAGCCGCCTGTGTCTCCTGGCGCCGGGTGCAGCCAGAGGGAGGAGGGAGTTCTGCTGAGGCCTTGCGACCAGGAGGGGACTGTACAGGCGGCAGCAATCCCATCCTCCCTCCGGAGGCAACTGTGAGTCGCATTGGCACAGCAGAGTGTCGCTGTGAGCCTGGGCAGAACAAAGGACACAGGACGCACCGCTGCCTCCAGCCTTTGTCCACACCATGCTCAGCAACTTCTCCGCCTCTACTCGCGGGTGGCAGAGAATGCCGCGGCCTTTCTGACAAGGCCACTTCCTTGAGGCAGTATCTGGGCACAGGCTGGCTTGAGCCGCTGAAGTCGCAGAGGGCGGGTCCTCGTGGGTTTTGCACGCCCTTGATCGCCAGCAGCACTGCGGATGCCCAGGCCCGGATGAAGAGGACCCCCCTTTGCCCTGGAGGAAGGCACAGTTGTGGGCAAGAAAGGGACAGACGACCCCAGCACGGTGCCTGGGTATTGCTGAAAGGCGCTGGAGACAGGCGCAGAGCCAGGCTGGGAGGACGCAGCTGGCCTGGGATGGGAAGGTTAATGGGGCGACCTCAGGCCCTATGTTTGTGTGGCAGGAGCCCGGGGAACCCAAGAATGAGCTTTAGTGCATGCAGTGTCCCCATATCTCAGGCGAGAGGGAGCCACAGGCATGGCTTGAACTTTGGAAACCAAAGTAAACCTGGGAATCTGGGGACTGTGCAGTCGCTGTCCACCCCACCCCCTGCCTGCCAGCCTGCTTCAGGCTGCTGGGACACAGCCCTGAATCCCTAGGGCAACTCTGGGGGTGATGGCAATACAATACTTACCTTGGAGTTAGTCTGAAGAAGGAATCTGAGACACAAAGGTTAAATCACTACCCAAGATCCAAGATCCACAGCAAATAATTGCGGAGGCAAGATTCAAACCCAGTGGATTGCACCTCAACCGGAGGATCGCTGAACATTGCCTCCCTCCACCTCCTTAGCCTGACAAACCCACATGTGGATGGGCCAAAAGAGCAATGCTGGAGGAGACTAGCACTTGACCAAAAGAAAAAAAAGGGTGGACAAAGGCTGCAGAACAGAGCAGCCGGCCTAAAGCAAGGGCAGGTTCCACCCACTCTGGTTGAGCTCTGGGGAGCTGAGGAAACCTCCCAGGCCTGGTCCCTAGGGAAAGACAGCCTAGATTCCCATCACCGAGAAGAGGTGCAGGACTCAGGAGTGGTGCAATGTCATGCCTGTGGACTTCCTAGTCCTCTGAGCGGGCTCCAGGTTGGGGATTACCAAGTGGGCATTTGGGGGCAGGGCTTCATCTCATTCACTTACTGTTCCCTTTAAATGCTTATTGGGGGGTCTTTGCTGGGGTGTCCTTCCCCTTGTCTACCCACCACCACCTGGCAGCCTTCAAAGAGATTATGCTTCCTGTCTGGGGGAGCACCCAAGCATGCCGACTCTGGCCCCCTCTCATTAATTTCCATAAAATCTTGTGCCCAGGGCTCTGTATGGTGACTCTCTTTAGGTCAAACTTACCTGCCAACAACTGGACTTCCCTGGTCCATCGGCCCAACCMATTTTCACCGCTCCCCCAATCCCCAGGTGAATTCTAGAGCTATTCAAAAGGCCCGGCTGTCATTGAATCCCCCTTCCCTCCCTTTCCCCTCCATCCTCCGTGAAGCTTCTTTCCCACAGAGCCAGAGCACCTGCTTAGAAATGGCACTGCCTTCCTTGGCAGGCAGCTCTGCTCAGCTCTCTCAGGCTGTGGGTTTGGCCAGGTCGGAGTGTGGGCCCTGAGGAAGGGGCTGCTGGGACTGGCTCGGATACTCAGCCTGCAAAGCCAGGGCTTAACAGCTGCCTGCCAGTCCTGGAGGGTACTGCCGGCTGTCCTGTGGATGCCTGGCCACCCGCTGAGCCTGCCTTTGTCTCAGCCTTCTGCAACCTGGGCTCAGGCCCCTACTCACAATGTGGAACTGCCCTGAGGGCTCTGGCCGGGTGCCAGGCCTGGGGAGCGGACTGCTTTGCTCTGGGGTGCCCGCATCCCCAGCTACAGCTGTGAGAAAAAGGCAAGCTGGCATGCCCCAGGCCACAATGGAGGCACCAAGGCAGGAGGCCCCATTCTACTGGGGACAGAAAGGCTTCCCTGGAGAGCCAGCTCCATGCCCTGTGGCCCCCAAGCTCACCGGCCTCCACCGGCTCCAGAGTTAACTAGGAACAAGGAATGCTGGCAGGGGCCGAGCTTCTGGCAGCCTTCAGATGCCAGTTTTGGTTCTCATCCTGGGCACCCAAGACGTCTCTAGGCTTTTCTGGGTTTATACAATAGAGTTTGGCTCACTTATTTTGCTTAATTCTAGCCAAATAAAAGCTTCAAAACGTGTTATCAGTTAGGATGACCTGCCCAAGATCATGGACCAGGTCAGATTTCTTGAYTCTACAATGGGCTTAAAAAAATTGAGACATGGTCAAGTCCAAGGCAACTGGTATCCATGCTATATCCCGGCACTGCTGAGTTCTATGCCTTAATCCTCCACTAATGTGCAGAGCGGCTATGATGCCTCCTCCCCCTCGGCTCTGTGCAACCACTGCTCAAGTTAGAAGGACAGCTGAGAACGCCCCCACCACTGAAATCAGTCTCAAGGAGGAAAGGGCAGACCTGGGTTCCAAGTCTCTCTTGTGCTTACTGTTGTTTCRTAGTTACTTCACACCTTACTTTTCAGGTGTAAAACAGGTCTCCACAGTGTGTACCTCATAGGTTGTGAGAATTAAGGGGAAACTATAGCCTTGCTGAAAAGACCTGCCAGGTCACCAAGTGCCACCCAGAAGTACTAGCTCTTTAGATAGAAAATCTGAGAAACTAGCTCCTAAAAAAGACTGACGAGCTCTTCCCAGAGGCCAGCACTCCAGTAAGGGGGAAAGGGGACCTGAGTCTCTTTTGTTCTAGTCTCTGTGCTCCCCACACTTTGTCCTACAGAAACCCCATTCTGGCACATCTTGAATGTGTGGTGTGGCTGGAGTCCCAAGCTTGGCCAGAGGAAGCAGAGTTCCTACTTCCCATCTTCCTGCAGCTGCCCACTGCCTGACCCCGCAGCACAAGTGGGTGTTCATCAATGGGGGCAGGAGAACAGGGGCCTGTGCTTGGATATGAAAAAAAAAAACTAAGAACAAAAATAAGAAACAACGACAGAACACCCGAGACAAAGTTTAAGGTCTCTCCATTTCTCTTTAATACTGAACAGTATTTTTCATACAGTTGTAACATGATCTCAAGAGAAGTAAGAAATATTACCGATAGACTTCGGGGTGTAAAAATATCACTCTTAAGGGTGGCTAGTTGAGTTTTTGTTTTACCCAAGTATATTTTTTCAAGTTTTCAAGTTTGCAGTGTCATAAATTTTAGGATTACAATCAAAGCTGTAGATGATGTTTTATTTTGCAGGGATGCTTTCCTGTAGCCTGAAGTCCGAGATCCTGTGGCAGTGGTTCTCAAACTCAAGCATGCACTGGAACCCTCTGGACAGCTTGTTAAGACAGTACTGACCTCCAGACTTGCCGATTCAGCAGGTCAGAGAGGGGTCTGGGAATGTGCATTCTAACAAGTTCCTGGGTGACGCTGTAGCCACCCTGGTCCCATACCACCTCGGAGGGCCACATATAAAGGAAACAAATCTAGCTGTGGTCAAGGCTGGGTAAACTTCCAGCCTCTGGCTCTGGCCCCTTCTCACCATCTCAAGGGAAGCTGCTCAGGTGTCTGCAGTTCTAACCTGACCCCATTCCCTTAGTGTGCACCTTCCAGTTACTTAAAATTAAAATGCTGCAAGGTTATTTATGCGTGGATAATATATAATGATTGATTTCTGCTGAGCTTTGCCTATCTCTAAATCATACTTATTTCTAATAACAAATAAGCCAAGGAAAAGCCCATTTCCACTTACAAACTTGGAACCCATCATCATTTAGAGCTGGGGTCCCTTGGTCCTCCCCTCAGTGGCTTCTCGGCCCCCTCACCCTGGATACTCTCTCAAGTCTGTCCATGGAGAGCTGGGCCCACTCTTGGCCAGTTACRAAGTCATCGCAGGAGCTTAAAAGCAGTTCCAAAAGCTTCTCTGGGGTCCTGGCTGTCCTCTCCTCATCCCAGAGGGCAGGACACGCACTGTTTGCTGGGGATAGAGACATCGGCCTCTCCCAAGCTGGACCTCAGCTCGGGGACACACCTCCCACTCACAAACGGTGTCTTGGCGGGATCTACATTCTGTGGAGCTGGGCGAACAGCCCTGAGCTTGATCCCACCCCAGGGCTGCAGCTGCCACCAAGGCCAAGGAGCAGGGCCTGAGAGCAAACGAGRAAGCTGACTGGCCTTATTTTAACATCCCCTGAATAACCAAGTGGCTCTGAGTTTGACAGCTCATGACCTGAAAAGAAAACCTGATACCATGCACTGTTCTCAGGAAGGTCTGGCTACAGTTGGCAAACCAGGGCCATGAGACGTTCACGTGAAGCCCAAGCAACAGGCAGGCGTTCAGGACAACGCGGTCTCAGCACAGTGAACATCTACACAGCCACAGGGAGGGCATCTCYGGACAAAGGTCACATCCAGAGGAAAAGAGCACCACATGTTAGTTTATGGCAGAGGGAAAACAAGTTTTTTCCTCTCCAACCACTTCCCCAACAGCTGAATTAGTGAAGAGACTTTAGTATACAAAGAGCTTCCAAATATGTCTAGGTCACTACAACCTGGCCTCGGTGCCACTGGAACTTTCAGAGCTTCTGTATTCAAAAGGAAAAAAAAAAAATCACATAGTCTACAGCGAAGTGATGTGCACAAGTCAGTATCCAATGACCTCCGTCACCGAAGTCAGCCTCAAGTGCCGTAACTTGTTCCACAAGCTGTGCGGGYGCCCGGTGGCCAAGTCCAGAATGCAGTGCACCCCCATGCACACTGGGGTGAGCTGTTATTGTTCATCGGCAACAAGATCACACTCAGTGRTCCCAGGTCCCTCTGAGTTGACCCTCTAGAGGGTACAAGGCAGGTCTGCTCTGTTGGCATTTCTCTGCCTGAGTCACTAAGCACCAGGCACAAGGCTCACTCAGGGCTGCCTGGGGCTGAGGGACAGCTCTACTCCCTATAACACTCTTGCTTTTTGGATCCAACACCAGAGGCAGTTCCCAGTGAGCATTACCAAGAAAACAGGTGACAGTGGCACCCATGTTTACAAACAGCTGACCAATGTGGCCACACCAGAATCAGACCATTTAAGCATATTTTCTGAAGACTAGGAGTTAGGGCAACTGGACATTAAAAGGAAGACCACCTCCTCTTACCAGACTATCCGGGGACTCAACTTGCCTGACTGGGAAGGAAGGCCCAGGAGGAGCAAGGTGCCTAGCAAGGCCTCTCATSGGGTCCYATCTTTAGTGCCCYCTCCACRGCAAKGGAGGGGGAGATACATCTGAGAAGCCTTTGGTTCACCTTCTCTCTAGGCAAAGAACATTCCTTTGGGAAAAAAATATTCTTGAAAACTTGGGAGGGAAAGAAATGCCGGTGAGAAAAAGAGAACTACAGGCTGCACATGCCATGTTTTAGCGTGTGGTTTCCAGACAGCCACTTGTTTTGCTTACAAATTCACCTTGTGGTACCAGGTGGAGTTGAGCAGTGCACCATCCACACAGCTGAAATGCAACTCACRGTCGTCATTTGATTTCTTGATCTTCATATGCTCCAAATTCTTCAAAAAAGTAACAGGCAATAGATGTCCCTCTGGTCTCACTTTATAGCCAGGGAAATTACCAAAAGAAAAATCTTGGCTCCACCACCTTTACTTACAGAAGGTAAAATACTTAACAGAGACAGATTTCTGTTGGAGTTAGACTCGATTTCTTTTCACAGCCCTTAATCTCACGAGGTGAGAAGGCATGGAAGTTGCCAAGTTGTTGGCTACCAGACCCATCAGTCTGTTTAACTCTGGCTAAGAGCAGAGAATAATGGGCAAGTTACCAAGTTTCCCCCCTTCAGCTCTGGTGTGAATTCTGAAGTTGTGCAAGATCCTCATGTAACACACACACACACACACACACACACACACACACACACACACACACCACTGCAATTCCATTTGCCACACAGTCCAAAGCAAACGTAGCATTGTGATTTTTCACAGTCCTCACAAAGACAGGAACACAAATTAGAGGACTAGAAACTGAAGGTGTTTTGGTTGGCTGAAGGGAAAGAGCCTGGGCTGCCAGCAGGAGGCACTCACAAGCAGCGAGGGTGTCCCTATCGCTCCCTTCCCCCCACCTCCTGACCCTGGGACAGAGTGAAGGGAACACTCTGCACTTCACTGCCAGTGTAGGAGTCTGTGTGGGGGCCCTTTCAAGGAAGGCTGTTCTGCGGGGACTCTCAGCCGGCACAGCAGGGTCAGGCTGGCTCTAGGTCAGTCTAAGGTGGGAGTGGGAGTGCCCTGCAGGGGGAACCTGTATTTAAGTTGATGCTCCGTCTCCACGTTCCCTACTCAGCTTCACCCCATCATGTCTCAGCCACCGTTAGGCAATCACCTTCCAACAGCGAGGTCAAAATGCCAATGCAAAAGAATGGAACAACATGCTGCCCGGGGCCACCACGCTTGGCCCTAAACTAACGGGAGGGTCTTACTCATTAAATGACCAGGTGTGTTCTACACAGGCCTTATTGTACTGACAGGGTCTGGTGACAGCAGGAGAATAGCAAGGCTTTTGAACAGGGGACCTTGTCATTCTCTGAGGTGCTACTTCTCATAAAGAGGAGTGAGCAGAACGGCGCTTAAACAAGGTCCCACTTATTTTTAACACAAGACTTCTTAATGCAAACCTAAGGACCATCCCTGGTCTAAGTTTATAGAAGACTATCTGAATAAGTCTTAAAACTTTTAAAACATAAATAACCTGATATCCTACCTTTGAAGCCCTTTGTAACAGTCTCTTTTTTTCCTAATTTAAAAAGAAATAACTTATTTATATATCAAAATTTGAGTTGAGTGTAAACATGGATGCCAACCACCCTTTCAGTTTTATAAATATGCTTTTAGCTTTCATTAACAGGCAGATTTCCTTACCTACCATGCTCCTAAACAAGATAGAATATCCTTCTTTAAAAATTGTTACAAATATTTATTAAAAAGTGCAATTCAAAAGTTAGCTGGGCAAGCGCACTTGTTGCAAAAAATCACAAAAAAGGGGAACCTCCCCCCCCCAAACCAATCCACAAGAAATATACACAAAACAAGAAAAGTAAGAAAAAAGTTAGGGTGCCGAGGAAAGCACGAAAAGACAAGGAAAGGAGGAGGCCAGGCTTCAACTCTGCCCGGGTGCTACTGCTCTTTCCAAGTGCAAAGGCAGCGGCGCCCAGAGGCCAGCAGCCCCCGGGGCCCAGCTGTGGCTCTGGGTCCAGCTGCTACTCTAACATCAGCTTATGCATCGGGGAAGCTATAAAAAATATCCTATATACATGTGCGCATTCGAGGCCTTTAAAGCCATCAGAAGCTTGAAGTGTAGTGTCTCAGCAGCTTCAGCTACTTAAGCTCAATTAAAGCATCTATCATTACGTTTGGATTGGCTCAGTTATTAGAATGGATGATCCAGCCAAGCTGACATCGTCAGGAAGAAAAGAGTCAGGTTCACTCACCCGTCTTGCCATTACTCACAGGGTAAGGGAAATCTGGCCCAGAAATAGCCTTTTTGGGTCAAGGTGGTTTCTGCGTAAATGTAATAAATGTACYAACCACTCCAACCCCATCCCCCAATGGAGAGTGCCACCAGAATAAAATAAGTGTCAGTGAGGACAAGCCAGCATCCTAATCCTTTTGAGTGCGCTTCTGCACTGTTCAGCAATGATGTATTCAAGGGTTCCCCTAAAAATGTAAGTTGCACCTCTGGGAAGAAGCCCCGGGACAGCAGCGTGCGAAGAGCAGGTCTGGCCCCCCCCTCTGGAGACACCGTCACCCCTTCCCTGGGCTGCGCCAGAGCAGGTCCTGCTGCGCCTTTTAATTGCTCTTGTCCATTAAAGCCAAAGGCTGTTAGCGACCCCAAGCCCCAGGGTGTCTCACTGTTTCCATTAGTTTTCCCACCACACGAAAAAAGCACCTGGAACAGCAATTTTATCTCAGCTCTGATCCCTGAAAAAATGAAATACGGCATTTGCAGTCACAAACTGCTTCTGAGCCTTCTGTCCTCGTCAACAACCAGCTCTCGGGAGTGAGAAATGCTCTAGCGATGGGAAACGGCCCGCCCAGGCCGCCTCCTGGCCCAGGCCGCCTCCTCGACGGGGATCTTTTGATGGACAGCAGAAGAAAGGAGCTACCAGAGACGGGCGAATCGGGCTCTGCCGACCCTTCCGGGCGACTCAGTCCCTCCTCAGGGAGTGGGGTCCAGCAAGGCAAAGCAGTGGCTAGTGGCCCCCAAACAGGACGGGCAGCAGGGGTGTCGTCCGACAGGAGTGCAGTCCCTCTTCCTCTTCTCGCCAGTCCTGCCAGCGCAGAAGGGAGGGGCGTCTGGCGGTGGAGTCCGGAGGAGTGTGTGCTCAGGGCACTGCCCCTGCCCCGGCTCCCGTCCAGGAGGAACCCGGGCCACGGGCGCCACCGTCACAGCACCAAGAAGAGGACCAGCACGACCAGCAGGATGGCGAAGAGGACAGCGATGGCACACCACTGGCGCCGATCTGAAAGGCAGGGCAGGAAGATTAGCCCTCCTGGGGCTCTGTGGCCCCAGACACGGGTGCAGGGATTAAGGCAACGGGGCAGAGGACCTGGACCCTGCCTGGGTGCCTGGGATGCTAACAGTGCTCTGGCCTTGGGCTGCGCTTAAGGCTCGTCCACAGCTTTGCCAGTCCCCTGAACATGGGCCTGGTAATAAGTACGTGCTCTGAGTCCAAGTCTTTAATTAAAATCCGTGGCTCTTAGCTTTTTTCTGGGGGTTAGTACGTCCCTGGAAAAGGTGCTGGAGCTGGCATTACAGATCAAAGCCTGTCTGCTTTAATCTCTCACCAAAGTCAAGTCATTTAATTCAACAATGATCATGCTCTTTTCTTAATGAGAGGGTGGAAGGGAGATGAAAGCTACTGCTGGTCACTTCAGGAAATGAACAGCTGAAAAAGCTGCTCTCCAGTGAGAGCAGGATTAATTTCACACCATACCAGTCAAGGAAGATGTAAGATTACTCACCAGTGACTGTGATAAAGTAATTCATATGGCTCATCTGCAAGTTCAAGTGGAATGCCTTTTCTGAAACCTTCTACACTGCCAACAGGTTAGAACTGCAGGCACAGAACASGGACCCGGGTCCCTCTCAGTGGCCGAGAGCAGGGAGGGAGCAGGCCAGAAGAACCCGGGCCGCCTGTGGTCCATAACTCTACACCAGCTGTAGCTACAAGGGGACAGTCACACAGTGCGCAAGCATGGAACACAGGAGATGCCATCATCATCAGGAGGCTTCCTTACCAGGGGAGAACCAGCTGGCCCTCATAGGTGAGCCATGCTACCTTCCACAAAGGGTCTGACTGATGGAGAAGAAGTTCATTAGGCCATGAAGAGGCAGCTCAACCACAGGAATAAGAGTTCCATCTGAGCAGCAGGATAAGGTACACGGATTCAGTAAGTTTACTGGAAAGCCCACAGGCCTTAGCACACCAGAGACCTAGGCTGCAATGAGGGCTGGATCTAGGAAAACAGATGGCAAATGGCAAACATCGCCACAAAGCAAAACATGCACTTAAAGTCATTTTAAATGTCATAGATATAAAAGTCTTAGAACTGGCCAAGAGAACTGCCAAAGACACTAGGTAAACACTAGTAAGACACTGGTATTGTCTTAGTGTGCAAACCCTGTCTACCTCAGCCGCGCCAGGACCCACTAAGTAACCCTGGGATCAGGATCAAGATCCCAGGTCACCCACGTCTGTGCTGAAGACATGCTGCTCCAAAGGACGCGAGAGCAGGTTCAGCCTCCCACAGCCTGTCAGTGTGCTCAACTAACACATCCATGGTCAGGAAGGCTTGTGTATCCACTTTCTTTCTTCTCTCTAGAGAGTTGAACTTCCAGTTCCCAGTCCAGCATGGAGGGAGCTTAGAAGTTAGCACTTTGTCCCATCAAGTAAAAAGCCRAACTGAAAACTGAGTAACTGCCTAGATCCATCAGACAAATAAGGCCACAGGGTAGAAGGCTGCCTCCAACACTGAGAAACCTAAGGTAAACACAGAAAATCACAACAGAACAGAAATCCTCCAGCAGCAGCCTCCACTGGAACTGGTGCCCCGAGGGAAAGCTGAACTCCCATGGTCAATACTAGAAGCTCGGGGTGGCTAAGTTGCAGATGGAAGAGCCCCAGGGAGTCTCCTGAAAGGGACCCCCACACTCCTCTGAGTTTTACCTCCTGAAGCTCAACCAGATTCTCACAGAAAATGTGGAAAAAAATCTCTTCTTGCTTCTGAAAGATGAAGGGGTAAAAACCATTTACCAATAAGCCAGAGAATTCTGTTCTTCACAGGACCATTCCATTTTTTCTGCACAAACTGTTTTACCAGAGCCCAACCTGTTGGGGTTTATCAGAACCTAATTACCAGGGAGATGGGAAATGACCAACTCCAATTCTAACCTAGGCTTCCTCAGAGCCTAACTATAATTTTCCTGTGTCACCTGGATAACTCCAAGTGTGGAAATGACTTAAGATACAACAGCAAAGATGCTATCCATGAAAGAAAGAATTGATATCGGGACTTCACTAAAATTAAAAACTTCTGCTCTGTGAAAGACACTGTCAAGAGAACGAGACAAGCCACAGACTTGGGATAAAAAATTTGCATAAGACACATCTGGTAAAGGATTGTTATCCAAAATGCACAAAGAGGGCTGGGGTTGTGGCTCAGCAGTAGAACACTCACCTAGCACATGTGAGGCCCTGGGTTCGATCCTTAGCACCACATAAAAATAAATAAATAAAATAAAGGTCCTGTGTCCAACTACAACTAAAAAATAAAAATTAAAAAATGCACAAAGAACTTCTAAAATTCAACAATAAGGAAACAGTCTGGTTTAAAAAAAAAAAAAAAAAGCAATAGACCTCAACAGGTACTTCACCAAAGAAGATAACTGGGTGTCTTTTCATTCAACATCAGCTGTTATAAGGCAACATGGCAAATCTAGACAACAATGAGAAACCGCAACCCCATGTCAGAATGGCCAAAACCCAAACATGAGAATACCAAATGCTGGTGAGGCTGCAGAGCAACAGGAGTGCCTGGTGGAAACACAAACTYGAGCCGCCACTCTGGAAGACAGTTCACTGACTTCCCACAAAACCAAACATACTCCTGCCATAACCATGAAGCAGYGGTGCTCCCTGTTATTTACTCAATGAACTACAAGTCCCTACAAAAATCTGCACACGGATGCTTATAGCAGCTTTATTCATAATTGCCAAACTTGGAAGTAAACAAGACGTCCTACAGCAGGTGATGCCTAAGTCAAATTAGTGCCCCATTATCCATAGTTTTGCTTTCCATAAATTCCGTTACCTCAAGTCAACTGTGGCCTGACAACCTTAAATGGAAAATTAAAGACATGAACAATTCATAAGTTTTAAATTACTGCCAGGTACAGTGGTACACTCCTGTAATATCCCAAGGACACGGGAGGCTGAGGCAAAAGGATTCCAAGTTTGAGGGTAGCCACAGCAATTTAGTGAGACCCCAACTCAAAATAAAAAATAAAAAGGACTAAGGACACAACTCAGTGATAAAGCAAAGAGTTCAATCTCTAGTATCAAAAACAAAAACAAACAGTTTTAAATCCCACTGTTCTGATTTCATGATGAAACCTCATGCCAACCTGCTGTATATCTTGCCCAGGGAAATGCATTACTCCTTTGTCCATCATATCCACACTGTATATGCTACCCTCCTTTAGTCACGTAATAGCCATTTTGGTTATAAGAACTGTAGTTATCTCAGTACTTGTGTTCAGATAACCCTCCTTGTAGCAGCCTCATGTTATGTCACATTGCCTGTGTCACCCACCTCACTTCATCGATCATATAAGCCCGTATCATCTCACATCACTGTAAAAATGGTGAAAACCATACAGAAAATTTTAAGAGACCACAGTCATACAACTATTATTATAGTATATTTTGTAATGATTCTACTTTATTATTGATTATTGCTGTTAATCTCTCCAGTGCTTGATTTGAAAACTGAACTTCATCACAGGTGTTACATACAAGGGTAAACAGTATATATGGGGGTTAGTACCATCCACGGTTAGAGGACCCCTGGGGGTCTGGGAACCTATTAAGGCAGGAATGACCTGTAAACTGTGGTACATCCAGACAACAGAAAACTATTCAGTGCTAAAAGAGAAATGAACTATCAAGCCATGAAAAGGCATAGAGAAAACTTAAACGCTATTACCAAGAGTGAGAAGCCGATCTGAAAACGCTCTGCACATCTGACTCCAACTGTATGCACATCTGACTCCAACTGTATGCACACTGGAAAAGGCAAAACCATGAAGACACTAAAAGGATCAGTGATTGCCAGGGGTTAAGGAGGAGGGAAGGATGAACAGGAATCAAAAATCAAAACCACATGAGCTTCCACCTCAACAATGACAATGGCTATTATAAAAAAGACAACAATGACAAATGGTGGCAAGGAGAAAAGGAGAGCACTCACCTACTGCAGGGAATGTGAATCAGCACAGCAAATGTGCAAATGGGAAGGAGGTTCCTCAAAAAATTAAAAATAGAGCTACCTTGCAACCCCACAGCCTCCCCTCTGGGTCTATGCCCAAAGGAGATGAAATCACCATGTTGAAAACATTGCCGCACGCCCAGGGCACTGCAGCGCTACCCACAACAGCCAGGCAGGGAATCAACCTAAACGCCCATCAGCAAACAGATAAAGAAGATGTGGTACACCTGCGAGATGCAACACTCTTCAGCATGAGATCCTGCCTCTTTGGACCTGAAGGACACTATGTTGACTGAATAAGTTAGGTTCAGAAAAGTAAACACTACATCACCTCACTCATATGTGAAATCTAAAAAAGATCTCATCACAGTAGAGGGTAGAACAGTGGTCACCAGAGAAAGAGTGGGAGATGGGAGAGGTTGGCCAACAGGGACAAGGTTGTACTGTCTGGCAGGAGAACTAAGTTCTGGGGTTCTACAGCACGGAGGGTGAATAGAACTAACAACAGTGCATCACACAGCTCAGGAGAGTCAGGAGAGAGGATTGTGAATGTACCCACCATAAAGAAATAACRCAACTTCAAGGAGATGGACATGCTAAGCACTGAGGGGACTCACTACCCCAGGCATATGACAATCGAAACATCACACTGTACCTTGTAAATATGCACAAATATTATGTATCAATCAAAAGTTAAAAGAAAAAAGAAATTTTAGGGTACTGAAACTTCTGTATACGATAGTGGATACAAGTCATATTTCTGTCAAAACTGCAGAATGAACACCAAAAATCACCCTAATGTAAACTATGGATTCTGGGGGTGATAATGACATCTCAACGTAGGTTCGTGGATTTTAACCAATGTAGCACTGTGGTATCAGAAGTCAAGAGAAGCTTGGTGGAGGGAGGAGGGATTATAGGGGAAATCTTTGTATTTTCCTTTTCAGTTTGCTGTGAACATAAAACTGCTTTAAAATATAAAGCTTATTGATTAAAAAAGAGAAACAAATATTTTCAACAATTTAAAACCACTCCCGTTAAATGGTTAGTTCATAYTCTCACTGGGCAAAAACACAGAAGGTACCTGCTTCCCCTGCCCCAATCTCCACACACCTCCTGTGCGCGGGGTGGGTGGGCAGCACCAGGCCATCCTGGGTGCGTGATTCCCAGAACCAACTCAGATTCCCAGTTTCTGGCTTCGCATTAGCCCCTAGCCAGATTCCTACCCTCCCCAGTCACTTTCTTTTCTACAACCACATTAAAAAGGGGTTTTCCTCAAGTGAAAACACACAGCACAAGAGCTAGCACAGCCAGGCCTGCTCTTTTAAAGCCATTTTCCTTTGAAGTGGTTAAGCTGCTTCTCTGAGGCATGAACTAGGTAACTCCAGGGAGCTGCTGCCCTGGCGGACTCCTCCCAGCGCTTCTCGCAAGGCTTCAAGCACAGAAGGAAGGGGCAGAAACCACAGGGGCTTTTGTGACCTCAAGTGAAAAGTTTAACCTGTGTTTTCTTCTTTCTTTTTTTTTGTTGTTCATGCTACGCCCACACCCACACTGTACCCCTGAACTCTACCCCCAGCCCTCAATCCGCCTTGCAAGCACAGGGCCAGATAGACAAAGGGGAATGAAGAGAAGGGAGGGGAGAYGGAYAGGGAAAGACAGCAGAGTGAACAGGACATCACTTTCCCGTGTTCATATGTGAATACACGACCAGTGAAACCCCACAACACGTACAACCACAGGAATGGGAAGTCATGCTCCATGTGTGTGTAATAAGTCAGAATACATCCTACTGTCACGTGTAACTAAAAGGAACAAATTAAAATTAAAAAAAAAAAATTAAGAGAGGAACAAAGGGAACTCCAAAGGTAGTTGTTCTGACTTCCCCTCTTGCTCTCCAAACGCTTTCCTCTGTTAAACAGAAAAGATGAACGACAGAATGTTGGGAAGTAAGGTGAGTGGGGGGGGGATTCTCAGTGTCACTTAAGAATATACTTCTCTGGCAGAAAAACGATAAAAGTTAGTGTTTCTCTTGAGTCATTCAATAAGTGAGTGTAGMCTCTGGGCTGACTTCTTCGTGAGCAGGGGTGAGAGCTCGGCCTTGAGCACTGTGGAGGTGTGTGCAGGGCTGCCTCATCACACTCTGGTGAGTAGATTTGATTTAAAAGTTAGGAGGGGAATAGAGGCAAGTACAAACTGCCTGCTCCACAAATTGGAGCAGACCCACCCGCAGGAGGCGGCCCCGGGGTGTTTCTCTTGGTAGTGAGCAAAGGTGAAAGGAAACAGGGGCGACCCATCCAAAGTGAAGAGCTTTCGGGACAACTGCTGTTTCCGGGCTCTTTYTCTTGTGCAAATATAATCAAAGTTCTCACTCTGCTTCCCAAACTTCCCCTTTGGAAGAAGACAGAATCAAGCACAAGCAAGACCAGTGCTGTTCGTACCCACAGAGGTGCTGACCACAAGGCGCTATTCAGACCAGGAAGGCTGGGGACAAAGACAGTGCATCTTTGTTCACTTGCCCTTCCCAACAGGGCTGGAGCTGAAGTAGCTACTTGACTTCACAACTAGCACATACACTGGTGAGGGGCCGCTGTTTAATCTGCTTGTATAATACTTCATTAAAACTTTTTTTTTGTTTTAAGTGGAGGGTGGGAGAGGAGAGAACAGAGGGAATAAAAAAGAAGACGCTGCCAGCCTTTCTCTAGACATGTGACCGATGCACGAAGCTGGTCCTGCTACCGTTTATACACAGCTGCAGACAAGGAAGAGCCTGCTCTAAGAAGAAAAATACTAGCCCCTGGAGAGAAAGAAGGCAATAACCAGATTTCCCTTTGTTTTGGATTTGACAGGTCCTCTGCTTCCTAGGACCATCTGGTGCCTTAGGTAATTTTTAAACTTTTCATAAGTWCTAATATGTAGTAGACAATGTTAAACACTTCTATATTATTAAATTTCACTTAATCCTCACAAGTACTTAAAAGGTAGGAATGAACCCTTTTTGGGGTGGGGGGCAGGCTGCTGAGAATCAAACCCGGGGCCTTGCAMATGCTAGTCAAGTGCTCTGCTGCTCAGCTGCATCCCCTGCCCTCAGCCTATTTTCAAAGATAAAAACTGAACCCAGAGAGCCGTTATGTAACCTGGCTATGCCTTAAACTGCTGCAAAGTAAATGCGCATGTGTRCTTAGGGCTTATGTGTCACATGCACCTCATAGCAAGAAATTAACAGAAGAATGAGGTGTYAAGAAACAGGAGCTCGGGGCTGGGGATACAGCTCAGGTGGTAGAATGCTTGCCTCGCATGCACAAGGCCCTGGGTTGGATCCCCAGCRCCACAAAGAAAAAAAAAGGAAGAAAAAGAAATAGGAGCTTCTAATGGGTTCTGTGGTCCACAAACACTAAAATTACCTCAGGGAATCTCTCTAACCACCAAGCCACCTCTACCAGATAAAGATGATGTTGGAGATTTTTATTGTTTGTTTGTTAAATATATTACTTCCCAGATAATAGGGGAGGTGGTTTCTAGTAGTCAAAAAATATAAAGCATCATTGGAATATATCTTCCTACCCAGTAACCGATTTGAAAACTGTTACTCCTTCGTCCTCATCCTCTGGTATAAATTTGCCAGGAYATTTCATTGTGAATTTAAATACCACAATTTAAATTAAATCTACAAGGCCATCTTACTCTGACATAGTAGACATTTTTCTATCAWTGAAAGAAAGTTCCTAGAAAATAACTGGCTTATTTATTGCTTTAAATAAGTTCCCTATTTTGGCAAGGAAATAGGAAAAAAAAAAAGGATTTCGTAATTACAAAGAAAGCTGCCCCACTCAAAGAAACATCACCAGACGTTGCAGGGAGGGTCACAAGGCCCTTTTCCCAAATTAGGGGTACAAGCAGAAGCCGAGGCCTCTGTATTCCTGTCTTTTATTCTCTGATCCTAAGGCACCTCAAACAAATGTTCCACAGGAAAGGGGTCTGCGTGGACATACCTGTGAGGGGACCCCAGAGCACTTYGGAATTAAATATGGATTCATGAGATTTCAACATACATACCACTGGTCATGTGAGACACTTTTGCAAGTTTCTTCATCACATTGTCTAGCCGAGACTGAGTGCTCTCCAACTCGTGAGAGAAATCATCCAACATGCTAGAAAGAGGAGGCAGAAGGTTGGTGATACGCACAAAACTCCGCAAGGCACCGACCATGGAATTACGTCAGGATCTAGGTTCCATTTCAGCCAACTTAAAACAGGCCACGTTGGGATTCAGTACCCAGTCTATTATTCAAAAATCCTTGGGACAAGACATGCTTCTTTTGATTTTGGAATTCTGGGAGTTTATAAAAAGATAAGTTATATATGTACTATTAGTCAACATCCCCAGCCTGGTCTGAGGCATGCCCCCACCCCCATAATCAACACATTTCTTTCTTTTTCTTTTTTTTTTCATTTTTTTGTAGTTGTAGATGGACAGCGTGCCTTTACTTTATTTATTTATTTTACGTGGTGTGAGGATCAGATCCAGYGCCCTACACATGCCAGGCAAGCACTCTGCCACTGAGCTACAGCCCCAGCCAACACATTTATACTCTGTGGAGAAAACTATGAAAATTCACAGGTGTAGTCAGTTCAGACGAGGTTTTCTGTAAGATGAGCATGCTGCATATTAAAAAAGAGAAGCTTGATTTTTAGAGCTTTCTAGATTTCAGAACAGCAGGTACGGCAGCGTGGACCTGACTGCACAATACTACAAACTTACTGACAGGGCCACAGGGCAGAATGCAACTCTGAGAAGTCAGATAGCCAGGCTCTGTCCTTCTACCTTGGTCAAGGTACCCTACAACTTTGGGGGGACTGTTTTCTCACTTGTAAAATGGGGTGATCCTACCTTATGGGGTACTTGTGAAAACCATATAAAATAAATACAAAAGCRCTGTGTGTCAACAAGGGTTAAGGAACGTACTTTAATGAGATATATTCTCCCTTAAATCCCTCTTTGCTTGATCATAATCAGAAAGCGTTGGTACCAACATCCCTGAGGGGCATCACAACCTCTCCTACTCAGGGAGCCACAGTTTCCTCCAGGAAAACCAGCTCCAGGAGACACTTTCCCTATTTGTTGGCCAATGTGCAGCAGGGAAAGCAAACACCAAAATCCGGTCCTCTTACTCCAGCAGTGCTTCCTCCATCAATCACCACACGTTCCAGACCTCTCAGCTGTTGATTAGCCCATGATTATTCTGAGGCTAGAATTAACACACCAATTAGTACCAGGGGCCTGACTACAAAGGCCTTCTTAACTCTGACAGTGTCACTGGCAGCTAGAAACTGTTGGTCTTGGTGTGTGCCCAGAAAGGACACATGACAGTCCTGCAGGATTGAGACCATCAACTCCTCATTAAGTCAATTACTAAATAAACTCCACATCAACAACTAAATAAATTTGTGTTCCTTACCTGAATTCTCAAACTACAACATTTTTAGCTCCTCTTAGAGCCTGGCAGCACTGCAGCCCTGCAGCTGGCAGGCCTCTGTGGGCAGGGCCCAATGCTGAAAAACAAGAGCTACCTTTGTGTGCTGGGTACGACTTCTCTCACTGAGACAAAGCAGGCACGTCGTTAACCTTTAGCCAAGGACACCCAGGGCCAAGCGTCCAGTCCTGCTCTAACTCAACACCCGCCAGCCGAAGGGCACTGTGGCACACATGACATTTTACAATTTCCAGGAGCCATGTTTAAAAAATAAAAACTGCTGAAATTAAGGGGCTGGGGTTGTGGTTTAGAGATAGAGTGCTCTCCTAGCATGCACAAGGCACTGGGTTTGATCATCAGCACCACATAAAGTGAAATAAAAATATTGTGTCCACCTAAAACTAAAATATAAATTTTTAAAAAACTGCTGAAATTAACTAATAATCTTCTCTGTCTATTCCAATATGTGTAAAATATTACCATTTCAACATATCATTAATGCAAAAATTACTAATAAATTATTTTATACTTTTTTCACCTCAAAATCCACTGTGCACTTGACTCCTAGAGCACACCTCCATCTGACTGCTCACACTTCACCTGCTGAACAAGCACATGTGGGTGTGACTCGTGCTATTTTACTGGCACCATCAGCCAAGATTCATGTTTTTTCCTTTTAATTTACTTATTTTTACCAGAGTTACATACATACCTAGTTTAAAGAGATAAATGGTCCGAAAGCCTTTTTACAAACRCCATGGTTGTTTTCTGTTCCCCAGAGCAGGTGCTTCCACCCCCTCACAGTCTTCTCTTGGTACATTCTCCATTTTTAGAAGTAACATCCTTGTACCCCAGGACCTTGACTTTTATTTTTATCTTCAGACTTTACCTGTTGGCTCAGCACTACCATAGAATTTAGCTCTCTTCCTMTCTGGTCTTACCTCTGCATCCTCCCCACTTCCCTCTGATTGTATAGTCACAGTTTGATTAGATCAATATTCAGCATTTACATTAGGACTACTGAATAAATGCTACCCATGGCTGGGGGCTGTGTGGTGGGACTCGGAGCTCAGTTGTGGTCACCTCTGGCTGAGGGTTCACCCTTCTCTGGCCTGCCAAGTCTATAACCAGCCTTTGCCTGCTTTCTAGGATCTAAACTGTTATGACTGTTTTATTTCATATTTTATGACCCCAATAAGTTTTAAGCCTTWAAATAATTCTTTTGCTATTGTTCTAGTGGATTTAGTGGGAATAGAGAGAGGGGTGTGCTCAATTCACATCTTTAACTGGGAGTCTCAGGTTTTCTCTATTGTCTGTTTGCTTCACCAACAGACTACCTCAGGTCATTAATTCCTTCCCATCTCAACAAAGGAATTTAGAGTCTAATCTGTGTTTGACAGGAAGCAAAGTCTAGATTCCTGCTATTCCAACTGCCTAGCTGGTCTCCCTGCCTGGATCCACCCTGGGACACCACCTAAATCACACAGCAGCTAAGCCTCTCCAATACCTGATCCCACCTCACTCCCAAAGCCACCTCTCTGGTCTCCCAGCAAGCCCAACCCGAGAAGTCCTGCCTCCTTACCACCCAGACGAGGCCTTTCCTGCTCCTGTCTGCCTCCCTATCTGGACTTCGGCCACTCCCTCTGATGCCCATGCTACAGACATGGAACCTCTCACTCCATTCATTCTTCTGCCTCCAGATCTTTACAGGCAGGTGTTCTTTCTTCCTCCTGGTGCACGCCCCCTCACTGCCTTCTGGCACAAGCATGAGTCCCACCTCACCCGGCTATCTTCTACCCAGTCTGCAGGTTTCAATTAAACCCTTCTTTCTCAGAGAATTTCGGCTAAGTCAGAGCACTCTAGGCAGCAGCGCTAGACCAGTCACAGGGAACTTCCTACTTCACTGTCAACACTTACCATACTGACTTCATTTAAACAATGTCAACACATGTGATTCTGCAATCTTTGTAATGTTTTGAATAACCAATTAAAAAAAAGAATAAAAATTTAAAAAAATCTGCAAAAAAAATTTAAATAAATAAATAAATAAATAAACAATGTCCATTTCACTCAGAAAGTGGCCAACTCTCTGAATGGCAGACACAGTGTCTCTTCTGTTTGTGCTATGTACCCAGGGCCTCCCAGAGGGCCTGGCGTAGAACAGGTGTCCAGTAAGAATCTATAATGGATGCTTGTGTAATCTAAGACTGAGATAGGAGAGTTTTGAAATATCCTGATGGACTGTCTTGTTTCCCAGAAGAAAATTTGTAAAATGGTAAAAGTACTGCATGGTGGCATTTAAGAAGGTTGTTTTCGCTGGTCATGGTGGCACACACCTTTAATCCGAGTGACTTGGAAGGCTGAGATAGGAGGATTATAAATTCCTAGGCCAGTCTTGGCTATAAGCAAGACCCTGTCACAAAATAAAACTTAAAAGGGCTAGGATGTAGCACAGAAGTAAAGTTTGCTTGAAGTCAATCCCCAGTTTAAAAAAAAAAAAATTTTTTTTTTTTTTGCTATCATAATTTATAATGTAAAAGAGATTGGCCATTTAAAAAGTTATGTTTCCTTGGTCTGGGGCTATAGCTCAGTGGCAGAGTGCTTGTCTCTCATGTGCGAGGCACTGGGTTTGATCCTTAGCACCGTATATAAAAAAACTAAACAAATGAAAGCATGCTGTCCATCTACAACTAGAAAAAAATAAAATTAAAAAAAAGTTATGTTTCCTTGATTTTTTGTTTTGTTTCTGAGAGGAAAATTTCCTTGCTAAATATAGAGTTAAATTTCTTAGTTTTTCTATTAAATTATGATTTAAGTTAAAGCAAAGTCCTGTCAATGCAGCAGCAGCCACGAGAAGACGGAGTGGCAGAGCTCCTAATGCCACCTGCACAGGCCTCCCTTCACACTGTCCATCCCGTTTGGAACAAAAATCTCCAGAGGTTACATCCCTGTTCACATTTGCATTCATAATCATGCTTCAAACATTTTCTCAGAGAAATTTGTTATCTGKTTTTGGAGGTGTTTAAAAATAATAACGATGCCCAAACCCTGCTGTAGATTTTATCTAAAGAGTTGCTTCTTTAGAGGAGGCTAGTCTACAACAGAATAAAAATGCAGCTATAAATAAAACAGCTTTTGGTTTTACAGTCACATAACTGCCAGGCCTTTGGGAGGTCTGTCCTATGAGATGCCTTTTTCTTCGGTCTCACTACAATGACGGGGTGCCTCGATACTCACACTGCCTGTTCCTCCAGCTCCCCTCCAATGCGCTGGGACATGTTCTTCAGCACCCCGATGCTGCCAGAGACCAGCTCCAACTGCTCATCCTGCTGTTCCACAATCAACTGGTGCCAGAGAAATGGGAAATAAGCAATTAAAATCCATCTTACCTGGTTCCAAGCCCAGCACTCTAGCAGCTGCTAGTTTCTCTGCCAGCTTGGGACAATTCACATTCAGAAGCAAAGCCCAGAAATCAAAGGACCAGACCGTCGCCTCTGAGAACACGCTGCTCAAAAGGCTGGATTGTCAAGCTACTGATATCTCCTGCTGATCCAACTTGTGAACAGTCAGCAGGGCTTGAAACCACCAAGAGAGATTTACTCTGGTTGGCTGAAGTCCAATAAAGGAACAGACAATGGCTGAAAACACACATGCAGATGACCACTGAGTCACGGGTATGTTTGGGAAGAGGAAGTCCACGGCCAGGATCAAGGTCTCCAACCACAACATACTGCCAGCTTAAATGCAAGAGAGACTGTCAAATCTCGAGATGTGGGAAAACTACAGTGTTTTTCTTCTTCCTCAAACACAATCTAGAGGAAGCCGTATGGAAATGTTATCTCAAGGACAACTACTTAATGTTGACTTTTAATTGTGCTTTATACCCTCTCTCTTTCTATTAAAAAATGGCTGCTTGGAGGGAAGATACAGCTCAGTTGGTAGAGTGCTTGCCTCGTATGCACGAAGCCTTGGGTTCAATCCCCAGAACCACAAAACAAAACCAGTTTATGTCTGGCTAAAAAATGGTTGCTTGGTTAACAGCAACTTGAGTAAACTACTAGTTAAGGAGACATACTAATGGAAACAAACGAACACATAACCTACACATACACAAAAAACACAGAATTTAAGAGCCAATAGTTTTAATAGACCTGATCGTCCAACCCCTAGATAGCTTTCTTTTAATAATCACAAAYTAGAAGCACAGCATACAGTCACTTTCTCCTCCTCAACTTCCATCAAAGCAATTATTTTTCCATGTAATAGAACACATTAATAATTTTCAGTGAAAAAACAAAAACTCAATCTTTCTGAAAGGGTCTTCATTGACATGAACAAAAAAAATGAGTGTATAAATAAGAGGTTGGGGAAAAGGTTTTGTTTTATTTTTAAAAATCCTTGGCCTTGTCTTCCAGGGTTTTGTTTGTTGAAGTGCTGGAAGTCGAACTCAGGGCCTTTCGTGCACTAGGCAAGTGCTCTAGCCACCACGCCGCACCCCTGCCTTTCAGTTTTCATGTCTGTCTGCTTTCTATGAGACCTCCTCAAGCGTGGTTCTCTGAATACTGTGCTCTAAAGGCTTTAAAACCCCCTCGTGTATGTGATCATCACACAGTGGCACAGTCAACCGCGGGGCAAGCTCTGCTCAAACCTGCCTATCAGTAAGCAGTGTGGCCCCCATGGCTGGCGGAGGAGCCAGGGGAGGTATCCCGCCTGCCACCTCCCCTCCTGGCCGGCTGTTCTCAGGGTACCTGCTGCTGCGCCTGCTGCTCCTCGATGAAATGGGAATTGGCTAAGTGCAGCTCTCGATCCAGGCGCCCGTACTGATCTGTCGTTCCTGTGCTCCAGGTCTGGCTGCCACTGTCTCCTAGCAGTGCCTGTGTGAACGGGGTGATCAGAGTGAGGAACAGCAAACAGGTACCATCTCTGAACAGTGAGGCATCAGGGTGACAAAGAGCTCTCACATTTCTCACTACCTGGCCACACTTCTATGGGTGCCTGTGTAGTACAACTTCGGGACTGCCCTGAAGGGCCTGTCTTCAAGCCCTCCCTACGTCTGTCCCATTAAAATGCAAATAAGTGTCCACACTAACCCAACAAACAAATCTGTACATTGTAAATTGCCTCACAATTTAACAGCACTCAGTCCCTTACCACAGCTCTTCCAAGGACCCAGAGTTTCCAGTCAAACTGGTTTACAAATCTGGAGTCTGTTATTGAAGGAGGATCCAGGAAGCTTGGGGGCCTCGGGGGATGGGGATTTCCCCAGGATGACGAGAAGGTAAACAATAGCCCCTCATACACAGAAGGCACGGAACCATCCACATCTGCTGAACTCAGTCTCTGAATAAAACCCGACACTTCACTGGAACTGAAAGCTAGACTTCCCAGAGGATGCSGGGTTGCTCCCCCAGGCAGCAGGACCACAAGGAGTCCTTGACACGGTGTTCTCCTCCAGGGTTTCTGGAGGCCAGGGGTAGCTTTCCCCAGGATGAACTCAAAGGAGTTTATAGCCAGAAATGGTTAAGTTTGAGAATATCTCGCTTATGTGAGAGGTCAGGAGGGAATGTGAGACCCCTTCCGACTGCTCACACCAGGACTGCTCTAAGACTCAGAAGATGCTGGTGACTGCAAATCATTCCTCCTTGTGGAGTGGCCAAAGCTTTGTACTAGGTACTTTTTACCTCTGGCACTACTAAAAGCCTAACCAGTTACTTGATTCTCTCTCTGGAAGCCCCACCCACGCCTCTCTCCATTGGACACTGACCTCCTCCTGACTTTCAGAAGTGAAGTCTACTAACAGGATACAGGGGCCAGGAGCGGCCAAGTTCAGGATGCAGAACACCAATCTCAGAGGCTGTTATCAGAGGAGCGCCTGAGATACTTACTATGGAAGTTCTTGTTGAGATCTTTGAGGCTCAGGGTATCAGTCCAGTCAAGAGGCTGGATGTGACTGTCTCTGGAGTAAAGCAGACCTATGGCCTTTGGTGGTGGCTCTGCCCTGACCTGTTCTTAGGGATGTCAAGATTTAAAAGATCTGGCTCATTCTAATCCCAAACTCTAAGGACCTCTGTGGAGGACATTGGGGTCTCATGACAATTTTTTCAGTGTCAGAAAAAGGGTAGAGTGCACCACTGAGCTTTAGGCAGGGACCTGGGGCTCCATCGGGCTGTGTACCACAGCCAGGGCTATGTTGTCCTCCAGTGTCCGTGGTCTACCCTTGGTGAGACATACATCATGTTGTTCAGAGTCATGTAGGTTTTATCGTGAAATAGCTTAGAGTTCATCAGTCTGATCCCCGGGAGTCTCATTCAATGGGAAAGAAGATGGAGGAGGCCGCAGCACTGAGSGATGAGCTTGCGGAGAGGTGGAGGCAATGCTGGTGAGGCTGCGAGTGGCACAGCACCTGGTACCTGGCACAAAGACTGACTGCCCACATGATGCCTGGAGAACCCTGGCCCCGATGTTCCTCGAAAATAGGAGGCCCTGTGACCTGTCACTCAGACTAAAACAAGATTCCAAGTCGTGCTTGGAAAGGAATGTATGAATTCTCACTTCATTCACATTACTTCACCTAAACTACCCAGAGAATAAACACGTTAAGGACAGGCGTTACCTACCTCACTGTCACAACTACTTCAGGTATCGTCATTTACTTTCCTATATGCTCATGTGCAAATGACAAAGGAATTCCCAAACTAGCCAGCTGTGGTCATTTATTAGCGTCTTTCTAGAGTTAGAGCCAGGTGGAATGAGCTAGCTAATGACTATTCCTGCCTGTACAAGAAGAAGAAGAAGGAGGAGGAGGAGGAGGGGGAGGGGGAGGAGAAGGGGGGAGGAGGGGGAGGGGGAGGGGGGAGGGGGGGAGGAGGGGGAGGGGAGGAGGAGGAGGAAGGAAAAAAAGGGAGGTAGACAAAAACAAATCAAACCCCCCCCAAACAAACAAGACTTCAAACAGGAGGTCAGGTGATACTTGTTTTCAAAATTAAGTGTCTCAGCAAACACCTACTAGGTATAAAGATTTATGTTATAAACTACCAATTCCTAATTAGTAATAACAGTGAGGTAATTCCAAGCTACAGGCTTCTAAATGGATTACTGGTAACTTTCTGGACTCCGAATAGTCATTCAAAGCAAATAATATCACTMTGAACAACCTTGTGATTTTCCATGAAATCTTTCTTACTCCTAAAGCAAAACAGATATTCACAGAATTTATAAAAACAATTTGTCAATAAAAATCATCTACCAGCTTACCAACAGGTTAAGGAACATTCTAACCACTGAAAGAATGTAAATCAAACCTGAATTTAAGTTCTAGGTGATGACTGTATATTTTTAAAAGGATCATATTTTAACAATTGGAAATGAGTTTCTTTCATACACCATGAGTAATTTCTTATCACCACTTAAAGAGATATTTAACTTAACACACATTTAAAGTTCTTCAAACGTCTTTCCATTAAATTTCAATCATTAAGTGTCTAGTGAGTTCTATGGGTAGGCAGGTAGTAGCAGCTAGAGATAAAAAACTCAAAACAACAATTTTCATCTCAAGGAGCTTGGGTCCAGCAGAAAGAAAGAAAGAACAAGTAACTGAGGTCCTTAGAGGAAGCCTGGTGTAGGGTGTGTTCAACAGGTACAGAATRAACCCCTGAATAAAGAGCTCTGCGGTGAGTGCTGAAGGCGGATAAGCAGAGGAGAGAGGAGAGGAGAGGAGCGGRGCTGGAGGTGGGACGCCAACAGCCATGTTGGAGCAGCTGACTGGATGCCATGGTTAGACCATGTGTTAAACTCATGGTCCCCAGGCCCCTGGCACTGCTGGGAAGTGGCAGAACCTTTAAGAGGAGGAACCTAGTGGCAGGTCTTCTGGTCATTGAGGAAACGCCCTTGAAGAGGATAGTGGAACCCCACCCCCTTCCTCTTTCATGTCCCAACCAGGAGGTGAACAGACATGGCATGCTGCCACCATGGCTGCCTCACCACAGGCCCAAAACCAAGGGGGTCAATGATTATAGACTCAAATTCCAAAACTGTGAGATAGAACAGACCTTTTCTCTTTATGAGCTGATCATCTCAGACATTTGTTATAGTAACAGAATACAGACTGACACACTAGACTTCCCCGAAATCTCCCCGTGTCACTCCAGGGTCTTGCTCTTTGTTATGTGATATAGAGACTGTCCGCATTTAAAACTCCTATGTCTAATCAAGTATTTTCTTTGACACTTAGATTTTGATGTCTTCTCACCTGCCTATTTTTCCTTTCAGCTAACGCCTGCACAGATGAAGTTGACATTTGATCCTTCATGTCCTAATGAGACAAAGAGAAGAACAAAAAGTGAATGAAAAATATCTTTAGCAAAATACATATAGTTCATTATTATGTTTTTTTTAACAAAAACCTTTTATTTTCAGCCTCAACAATAAAGGAAATAAAGAAACATTCCCTTAAAAAGAGGTAACCTGAAAAATAAACTTAAATAGGAGGAAAGAGGAAGGGAACTAACTTTTACTGGGTTCCTACAACAGGCCAGAAACAGCTCTCACTGAATTTTCAGCAACCCTGTGAAGCAGGTGTTATCACCACTTTCAGGTTGAGGAGACCCAGATCTAGAAAGACACGTGCAACTCTGAAAAGCTGCACAGCCAGTGAATGGTGTCCCTGAGGCACACAAACACCTGTGCTCAAGGACTAGCATCCTTTTTAAAAAAAAAAACATAAAAAATCATGAAGAATATTTATTGTTTTCAAACACAGAACATTTTCATACTCACATTTCTTTTCTTTCTTTTTTTGGTCCCGGGGACTGAATGCAGGGGCATTCACCAATGAGCTGCCTCCCCACCCCCTTTTAGGTTGAGGCATAGTCATGCTAGGTTGCTGAGGCTGACCTCAAACTTGCAGACCTCCTGCCTCAGTGCCTCTGCAGCTGGGACTGCAGGCATGCTCGCTTACCCAGCTCACTTATTTCTGAGTTAAAAGGAAGTACAGACTATTTCTAACCAGAATGAGTTTCCACAGTGGCATCAAAAGTAATTTTGTATGGAAAGAAAAATAAATGTATTATTAAATCTGGAGCAAAATACTTTATTAAATATAAACCATTTTGCTTTTCACACTTAACCATTACCTGATATACAATAAAATGATTTAAAATAGGATGACTACAATTTTCTTTTTTCTTTAAAAAAGGCTGTCACGATACATTATACTTTCTGTTGGCAAGTAGATTATTTTTATAGATGCACATGTTAAGGTATTGTTTGTTTTTTTCTTTGGTACTGGGGATTGAACTCAGAGGCACTCGGCCACTGAGTCACATCCCCAGCCTTATTTTGTATTTTATTTAGAGACAGGGTCTCACTGAGTTGCTTAGCACCTCACTTTTGCTGAGGCTGGCTGTGAACTCGCGATCCTCCTATCTCAGCCTCCTGAGCCACTGGGATTACAAGCGTGAGCCACTGCGCCCAGTAAGGTATTTGATTTTGATGGAAACTTCTTCCATGACCCACGGTAAGTGAATGGTAGACGAGATGGTACCATGGCTTTTATGATTCCTACTACGGTAAAATTGCCATCTTTCAACTTTCAAAGCTCATACTCATTCATTCTCAAATAYGCATGCCTCTGATACACACCAGGCATACAGCAGTGAATGACACAATGAGGCCCCGTTCTGTTTCCGTGGAGCTGCATGGTGACTTCCCTGAGTCAGACACCTCAGGTGCTGTTAAAAATGCAGTTCTCTAAGGCCCCACCCAGACCCACCAAGTCAGACTCTTCAGGGTGAGGTCTAAACTGGCCCCTGTGGTCTACACAAAAGCTAGATGCCTCAAAGTGAGATGATCAGACAAACTAGTATCTCCTGGATACCCTCTCAATTTATCAATTAAATGAACAGTTTAAGATAATATTCTGGTATCCAAACAAAAAATTCCATTCATTTACTATACATTAGTAACTATTAAAAAAATATCTGAGAAGTTCACTAGGGAGATAATACAAGCTTTTTAAAATGTGCCCAATGCATTGTACCATAACTTTCTAAAAAAAATGTGTGTGTAAAAAGTAGTATCTGAGCCTCTGAACGCYGCATAATGGAATGTACTCTTGCTGTGAGAGGTCAGGAGGCAAGGGGAGGTGGCGACGGCACTGGAGCACCAGGCAGCTGCTGGGGTGCTGGCAGCCCTGAGACGCTCTGGRTACTGCTCAACAAATTCACCAAGCTGTACACGTAGGTACCTGAACTTTTCCTATTATATTTTAATTAAAATGTCTTTTTTTTTTTTTAAAGAGAGAGTGAGAGAGGAGAGAGAGAGAGAATTTTTTTTTTAAATATTTATTTTTTAGTTCTCGGCAGACACAACATCTTTGTTGGTATGTGGTGCTGAGGATCAAACCCGGGCCGCACGCATGCCAGGCGAGCGCACTACCGCTTGAGCCACATCCCCAGCCCGTCACCAACTTCATTTATTTATTTATTTAAAGAGAGAGGGAGAGAGAGAGAATTTTTAATATTTATTTTTTTTTTTTAGTTCTCGGCAGACACAACATCTTTGTTGGTATGTGGTGCTGAGGATCAAACCCGGGCCGCACGCATGCCAGGCGAGCGCACTACCGCTTGAGCCACATCCCCAGCCCCCCTAAAATGTCTTTTTAAAACATACTGCTCCCAAACAATCACGGTAAACAGGACCAACTCTTTAAAAATAAAATTTTCACTTTGTTTGAAGAGCCCCAAAACAGTCACTGCCTTGACTCACAAATTCCACTAACAGAAATGTACTTTAAGGAAATAACATCAAATATATACCAAAAGAGACGTGCAAAAACGTGTGATGCTATTTTATTTATGATATAGAGCTAGAACTAAGCAGCATATCCACTTATACTATATAGTATCATATACTAGACAGTATGCTTATGAAGAGTCCTGGAACGAGACAGCACACAAATGACCAAACATGAGAAAAGACTCTAACCACTTCTAATCTAAGGGCAACCAGAGATACGTTCCCTAATTCCACGAGGAAAGAAGAAAAAGCCTAGTAATACTTAGTGTTGGTGAAATATGGAAGCTGGGGGCAGGGGCACATGCCTGTAATCCCAGTAGCTCAGGAGGCTGACGCAGGAGGATCACGAGTCCAAAGCCAGCCTCAGCAAAAGCAAGGCACTAAGTAACTCTGTGAGACCCTGTCTCTGAATACAATACAAACTAGGGCTTGGAATGTGGCTCAGTGGTAGAGTGCCCAGAGTGTCCCAATACCCCGGCCCAAAAAAAAGGAAAAATGGAGCTAGGCATAGTGGCCGGTAATCCCAGCCGCTCAGGAGGCTGAGGCAGAAGGATCACAAATTTAAAGCCAGCCTTAGGAACTCAGTGAGACCCTGTCTCAAAATAGAAATAAAAAGGGCTAGGGGTGTGGCTCAGTGGTAAAGTACCTCTGGATTCAATCCCCAGTACCTCAAAATAAATAAATAAAGTCTTCTGAATTGGGAGCGTAGCTCAGTGCTTGCTCAGCATGCACAAGGCCTGAGGTTCATTCCCCCTCCAATGAAGTCTTACTGTAGATACCAAGAAAATACTAACCAAATACTAACCACATTTAAAATGTGTTTTCTCATTGAATTCCTTACTACTTAAACAAATATCTAGGTTATGCTCACAGAAATAGTTACTGAAGTATGGTTTGCAACCRCTAAAGATTAACAATTAAAGTATCTACTGGTGGGTCAATAGTTAAATAAACCATAACAGAACCAGATTAGAGAAGAGGTTAGCAGCAGGGTCTTTCATGCCCAAAACTTAGGTTCAAAAACTGGTAATGCAGAGAATATCATGCTAAGTGAAATAAGCCTAAAACCAAGAGCCAAATGTCTTCTCTGATAAGTGGATGCTGGTCCATAGTGGGGTGGGGGGATAAGGAGGAATAAAGGAACTTTGATTTGTGTAGAAGGGAGTCAGGGGAGGGGTGGGGTTGTGGGGATGGGAAGAACAGTAGAAAGATACACATTATTACCCTGTATACATGGATGATTACACTAGTGGAGTGACTGAACCATGTACAGCCAAGGAAATTGAAATGGTGCTCCATTTGTATTCTATATGTCAAAATGCATTCTATTATAACAAATTAATTTTTAAATAAAGATAATAGCTGTKCTAAATTGGGCAAATTTCTCAATTTCTCTCTTTCTTTTCCATTTATGGAATTAATAAAGACATGAAGAATGATTAATAACAGTGGTCAAAAATCTAGTAAACACTCAAGTAAATACTATCATGTAAAAGGAAACAACCATGAAAAGGGGTTATCTAAATCTGCAGCCACTGAGCCCTGAAATGGAGTCGGTAAAATTGAGAAATTAAAATGAATTTATTTTAATTAACTAGAACTTAAATTCAGTTACTGGAAAACTTCTATTCATGTTTGGAAAAAACTGGGTTTGTGACTCTCACTGTAAATTTTATAGATGCTCTCTACAGATGAAGTTCTTCCAATGAAAATCTCACATCTGAATTGACATGTGCTTAAGTGTAAGATACACGCCAGATTAAGCAGTCTTGGTATAAAAAGTTTAAAAGACTTCAATCTCTCATTAATGTTTCTTAAGATTGATTACATGTTCAAATGATAACCTTCTTGATAATAGGTTAAGTAAAATATACTTAATTTACTTGTTTCTYTTCCTTTTTCATGTGGCTACTAGAAATGAAAATGCTTAGCACTGAATAATAAGGTCACAACTACGAGAAACACTGCCAGCCGGCACTGAGGAAAGTGACTGACGTGCTGTTAGTTATCATTTCACATTTCAGTTTCTTTTTCTATTTTATCCTCTTGCAAAATTGTTCTAATTCTTTAATGAACATGCATTACTTTAATGAAATACATATTTTAAAGGTGCAATTCTAAAGTTTTCTGCTTAATAAAAAACTGTGATTGTGTTTGTGTGTGTGTGTGTGTGTGTGTGTGGCCACGGCTGCTGGTAAAGGGCTAAGTTTTAAGGACAGCACTTTATGTAGGTTAGAGTCACCAGATACCACATTACGGATCACCTTCACACTGGGATGTGGAATTCTCAGCTATGTTACTAAACAGTTTTCAACATTTGGTAACAACCTATCATGCCAAAAACATAATTACTCATCTTCTTCCTAACACATGAAGTTTAGAACCAGCAGTCAAAAGCAGTTATTCCCAATAAAATATGGTTCATTTGCCAAAAGAACAACCAATGTCCTGATCATGTTCCTGCTTCCCTCCACGCTGTCTTCCAAGCGGAACCAGAGGCCSCATGAGTCCCAGTGCTCCCCACTCCTGGGCCTCCTATCCCAACATCATGTGCACACAGACATCTTACGCTTTCTGATTAACCAATGTCACTTCTTCTTGACTTACAACTGTAAACTAAACATTTCTTGGGTTGGAATAGATTTTGGGGAGGGAGGTGGAAAGAGCAGGGCAATCTGAATCCCTTTGAAAGTTAAAATTGGAGAAATTAGTGAGGCTCATTTCATTATTAAAACTGAGATCCAAAGAGACTGGCTGATTTACTCTGTTTAAAATTTATTAACGTCACAACTTAACCTAGAACTTAGATTCCTTGACCACTTATTCATTATTGTTCTGCCATATACTGCAAAATTCACTACTAAACTGGAGTCAATTCTGGAATATATTTTCAAAACACAAAAATTTCACATGTGAAATCTCATATATATAGATGACTTCACAAATAAAAAATGATTACATCAAATATATAAAGCCTATTTACATAAAACTAGAATATTTTGCTTTCTTCTTTCTTATTTCTATTTTTTGTGTGGTGCTGGGGAGTGAACCCAGTACTCTATCACTAAACTACAGCCCCAGCCCAAGTACTTTATTTTCTTCAGTAAAAGCTGCCACCAAAATTTAATAAAGACTTCACAATAGGCTGGGGTTGTGGCTCACGGGTAGAGTGCTTGCCTAGCATTCACGAGGCACTGGGTTCAATCCTCAGCACCACATAAATGTAAAATAAAGATATTGTGTCCACCTAAAACTTAAGAATAAATATTTTWAAAAAAACTTCACAATCTTAAATGACGTGTGGAAGAACATTCACAAGACTTTTTAAACAAACACTGTTTAGCCGAGTGTGTTTCTTGTTTTTGTTTTTACCTCCATTAGCATTGTTGCTGCCTCCTTTTCCTACAGATTTTCAAAATCAAATATTGACTTTAAAATCAAATCAGCAGAAGCTCAGTTAGGTACTGTTACCCCACCACTGGCAAATACTGATACTTCAGCCAGGCACTGTGGCAGGCAGCTGTAATCTCAGCTGCTCGGGAGGCTGAGACAAGAGGAGTGCAAACTCAAGGCCAACTTGGACAATTCAGTGAGAGCCTTCCACAGGATAAATTTTCTGTTTTTTTTTAAGGGCTGGGATATAGCTCAGAGGCAAAATGCTCCTGGGTTCAATCCCTGGTTGGGTGGGGGGGGAATCCAAACTAACAGCATCTCCAAAATTAAAATCAAATTTTAAATTTAATATATTAAAACAAGAACCATTAAAAACCTAAAGCAGTCAGTTAGATCACATAGTTGAGGGTGATTTAGATCTCAACTCCAGAAGGACAGCAACATTTTGAAGTACTGATGTGATTTATAAGACTAAGATTATGAACTTTGGATTCTACTTCCAATTATACCAACTACCTTAACTTTAAATATGAACCAATGAATTCCAATTTTCAAAATTCATAGTAATATCTCTCAAAAATAAAAATATAATATTCAAGTAAAGATCATACACTTCATTGCGAGGCACCATTTAATATTACAGATGTGGTCCATGGAAAACAGAAAAGAAGAAAGACAAAAATAAAGAAAAGAATGCTGTATTTATTTTTAAAAACTGAGGAACTGTATAAAAAGATACATCACTTAACAACAGGGCTTCCTTATCAGAATATTATTTCAAACTGGCTAGAAATTAGGAGTGTCTAATCCAAACCTTCATTCTCTAAAGGAGGCACCTGAAGTCCAGACACACTTCTGCCCCTTTAAAATATGGACTTGTTTACAAGCAATTTAGGTTTAAGYATATAGAAAGACAACTACTGAATAAAACAAAAAACAATATCCAAAGTTCAGTGATAACCTCCCATTTGATAACATGAAGAGGAAATCACGTGGCAGAGAGTCCTTGGCAAATGTGTACCAGGTTCTTGCCATATGTTAGCACTGGTCTGATCCCAAGTCTTTTTATTCAAGGAAGCTGCTTTCTAGTACATATGTTAAAGACAGCTGGTTCTCTTACATCTAGTTATGCTAATCAAATGGCTTAGCCATATAGTTTCAAGATACAAAACCTATCTTAATGATGCAAGACTTAAACCACATTCTCTTATTGATTCTTTAATAATGGGTATTATTCTTAATAATTTGGGGATAAAGATTTGACCACTTGACTGGTTCTTTTTACATGTTGAGACACTTGCTTGCCCTGGATAGCTCTGGGAAGACTGTCAAGCAGTGTGTAAGGTAATGTCAATAACATGGGTTCCAAGAGTTCCAGAAGTAATTCGGACAGTGGAAGAGGCTGCCACTCAAACCCAGGAAGAACCACTCTTGAGCAATGCAAGCCAATACTGTTCAGGCAAGAAACCAAACGGCTTGTGCAAAAGTAATCCTTCCTTTTGTCCAGAAAGAATGTACAAAGAAATAGAAAGGAAAAATTAAAGGTGAGGACTGTAGGATCACACTACTAATCTTTTCAAAGCCAGCAGCTTATTGTTTCATTTTTGCTCTAATAACCATGACAATATTAAAAACAGAATTTTCTTCTTTATTCAAAGAAGCTATATGTGGGAACTGGCATTTAAGTCATACCAAAAAGTGGTCCAGAGTCAACGTTAGTTTACAATTAATGGAAACATTTCTACAGTTTAGCTGTTTCTTACAAAGACAGCAACAGTAAGAACATACTCCTTACCCTGACAACTTGCCGAGTACTTGTAATGAAGGCTTTTCTTATACTCAACTCGGTAGCATCAAGGTTGAATTTTCTAGGATTTGCTTCAACTATGCGTGGGTCAAAAAGTTAAGGTAAAGCCATTTCACCATCGAAAACCTAACAAACATTTTGTTAAACCGCAGAATCCCTCACATACAAGCAGAAAAACCCAGCCCAAGCCTTCTGTAAACAGTCACCTTGATGCTAAGCATTTTCAAACTTTCTCTGCTTACAGCTATACAAATACCCTTCTGCTCCAGGATGACCTGCCAGATCAACCCCTGCTAATTGGGCTCACTGAAAATCCATGGCCATCTTGACCACAGCTGGGCCTTGCTCCCARCCAGCCTCTTCCTACTGCCACTGTGTCCTCCATGCCATGGTCTTGTGTGACCCCCAGAGCCTTCTTCTCTGCCCTTGGGATCCTGGATCATCACCCCAGGGTCCCAGGTCCAGGCCCAGAGATGCCCACTCCCCACAGTGCCCAGCATGGCTGCTGGTGGGCATCGGGCAGAATCTTCTTGTTGCTTACCAACACTTTAACCCCTCCTTTTTTGACTTCTGATTTCTTTTCCCATGACAGCTTTTACAAGCCTTTCTCAATTTGCCATTCCAAACCACTTCCCCTTATGCCAAGATTCTAAACCTCCCTCTTAATCTAGCAGGATCAAGCCTTCAGGGAAGCTGCCCTTGACTCCTTGCCCTCCAGCCTGGTTCAACTGCATAAGGTCAGACACTGGGATAGCTCCGTACTTCTTTCTCATAGCCTGCCGTTATGTATTTGTGCTGTTATTTGATTAATATCTGTTTCACTGGCACTCTTAAGTTCCATGAGGGCTGGTACACTGGCTTACTTATTAATCCAATCTCAGTAACCAATAAAATGCCTGGTCCATAGTATACTCAAAAGTGTTTCCTGAGCTGGGGATTGAGCTCAGTGGTACAGCACTTGCCTAGGGCCCCRGATTCAATCCTCAGCACCTGCCAAAATAAAAGTTTGCTGAATGAATGACAAAAATCTTTCAGAACTTGTCCTCTTTATCTCACAATTTATCTCCCTCAATCTTTTTTCCTTTCCTTCTGTCTTAAGGAAAGAAGTATCTCCCTGTATCTATGGTTTTGATTCTGTCCCCTCCCATTTTATTTTAGGGAACATACTTGACCCTTTTTTTTTTTGTAGTTGTACACAGTAACTTTTATTTATTTTTATGTGGTGCTGAGGATCGAACCCAGGGCCTTGCTCATGCGAGGCGAGCACTCTACCGCTGAGCCATAACCCCAGCCCCCATATTTGACTTTTAATAATTTAAATGGTATCCAGGGTCATTATTAAAGAAATCATGCACTGAACATTTTAACTACACATGAACCTGTGCTAAYTAGTGAGTGATTTTTTACAAAAGCTGGTTTCCTTGATGTTTTTAATCTTGCTTAAAACTCAGAAATGCAACTAGCAGATCTTCTATCTAAAGTTTTCATAAACGGGATTTCCAATTGAAAAAAGCCACATAATTCAGCTTCTCCAGTTCTCTAGGTTGTCAACCAGATCAGTGGACTTAATAAACATCAATAGCATTAAATTAGTATAACTAGTTCTGCTTTTACTAAACACAATTTCATGGTACAAGATAACTCTCCAATGGATAGTGGCATTTTAACATCACTTCTTAAATAGGAAGAAGTCTAGAAGAAAATTTTCTTTTAATATAAACACTAGTCTGTATATACCTCTCTGTAACAGGAACTACTAATACTTTTTTTTTTTTTACAATATTGGGGACTGAACCCAGGTTCCTGCATGCTAAGCAAGAACTCTTACCACTGACCTATACCTCCAGACCAACCACCAATACTCTCTAGATGCTTACTATGTGCCAAGCCCCATTCTAAGCTCTTTTCAGGAGTAACCTTCTTGACAATCCTATGAGCTCGGTACTCTTGTTGTCCTTTCTACTGAAGAGAAAACTGAAGCACTGAGAAGTTTTACAACATGCCCAGTGTGCCCAAGCCACTGTTTATTAGTAACTGCTTGTGATACTGTAATATCATAAGTGTATACCTGGTCTCTGCTCCTGGTATATAGCTCCTAAAACCCTTGGGATCTCTGGAATAATAAAGATCATTGTGTATGTTAATGAGGTGACTGATAACTGGGAGCTCCTAGATAACCTTGGGAAGAGGGCTGGTCATCAGGGAACAAACTGATCAGAGGGTAGGAACTTTCAGCGCCATCTGTTCCCCACCACCTCTGGGAAGTGGAAAAGAGCTAAAGATTGAGTTGATCACCAATGATCAATGATGTAATCAATCATAATGTAATGAAGCTTCCACAAACTCCACACGGCCAGGATTTGGGAACTTCCAGGTAGCTAAACGTGTGGAGATTCCTAGAGGGCAGTGCCTCTACACACTTCACCCTACAAATTTCTCCCACCTCACTATTCATCTATGTATTTTTAAATATCCTTTATAATAAATGGGTGAGCATAAAGTGTTTTCCTGAGTTCTGTGATCCGCTCTGGAAAATTAACTGAACCTCTGTGGAAGTGGGGATCGGAAGCACAGGTCAGAACCTGGGGCTTGTGGGTGGCACCTGAGGCAGGGATAGTCTTGGGGGCAGAACTCTTGATCTGTGGGATCTGATGCAGTCTGTAGGTAAACAGTGTCGGAGCTGAAGTGAAGTGCAGTAACCCTGCTGGTGTGTTCTGGCTCAGGGTGCTGGGAAAAACTCCCATCTGTGTGATGACAGAAATATTTTACTGACTGTGAAAGTGGAAAGAAAAAACTGTTTCCACTTTTACACTGGTAGAGCCACAGCCTGAACACCCGCATCTCACTCCARGGTCCAAAGTCACAACCACTGCACTATGTGCCTTTATATTGCGGAATTTGTCATGTGCTGTAGAATAGGGCTGCTTACTTGGCTGACCGGGCAATTATTTTAAATGTGTCATACTGCAAATAACAGCCACACCAAGGATTATAACAGGAAACGTCTCATCGAGGTACTTGAAACATCTGGATAAAAACCTGCCCGTTTGTCGGTTCACTGCCAACAGCACAGACACCACAGAAAAGGATATTGATGGTCTCGTCAAGGTCCTCCAGATCCCACTCTATGCTCCGGAGGTTGTTTCTCAGCTCSTTGGTGGTCCAGTCGATCTCTTCCCTGGTTGCTGCAGAGGGGTCYTGCAGAAGCTCTGTCCATCTCTGAAACAATCCCTGGGCAGTGTTGACTGCTTTCTGTACCTCTCTGTAATCAAGATGAAGGGAAAGGAAAAGTCACAAACAACGCGTGGCATGAAGAAGTTCCCGGGTGTCTGAAGTTAGCATGGAGCACCAAAGGCCACCCTYGGCAACCACCATTCCCACAGAAGGAGGCTCTTCAGACGCAAATACCAAAGTTGAATCACACAAGCTCAGTATTATGTTCTCAGCTGATGCTCAGAATAAAATAGCCATTATTCAAGCAGCTACAATTCCAAGTTGTTTGAGAGGGACACATTTAATTTTTCTCTGAAAAGATTACACTTAAAAGTCACACAAAGATGCAATCCTGCCAATAAACTAAAGGGTCACTAATATCCCCACACGCTTCCATGTGGGTGACAGTAATTTATATTCAGATGAAAAAGTCCTTGTACAGGCTTTCTTCTCTTGGGGTGGGAAGCGGGGGAGGAGGGTCTCTCTTGACGGTTTGTATGGTAGAGGTTAACTATTTTAGTCTGAGACATTTTTAAACCAAAGATTTCATGAGAAGATTTCCAAATATTATTATAGCTTTAAATATATCTATTTTCCTGGATTAAGAAATGTTACATAACAGATTAGTATTTTTCTTATTTGGAGTGTGAGATGAGGCTAGTAAGTGCTATATCTAAATGCTTTCAGGTTAGATATCGTTGCAAGATTTAAGAACTATCCTCCCCATGGGCCAGTACCCACCATTTAAATGTTATATTCTAACACTACTGCATTAAAAACCAAAGAGAATCATTTTAGAATCTCATGGTTTCTCATGCACAATCATTATAATCTCATTGCTTCCAAACTAAGAGAACTGCTTTGATCCTCCCACAACTTCTCCACCAATTCTTCTGGAACAAACAGCACAAAAATGTGTTCTAGCTGATCAGGGTGTCTGTTGTCTATGGCTTTACAACAGAATTTGCCTACATCCTCTTCCCTCTGACATTTCAAACACCRGAAAAATCAAAGCACTCATAAAAATAAAGAAAAGCATCTTATAATATTTAGGTCTAYAGGGTACTTATGAAGCTGAAAGGCTGAACATTAAAGAAGAGCTAGTRGACCTGGACAGAGTAAATCAGTGCACCCACCAAGGAGGTCCACATCTAGTTCATGGGCTAGGCAGTCCTATCAACTGTTCCTCTCATGTCAGCCTTCAGACTTTCAGTACTAACGATAAACTCCATATAAGATAAAATGGGAGAGAATTAAGTAAGATGTAAATCTACTATCTTTACTCTTCATTAAAGTTTCTGGTCAATTTGGTAGAAAATGAGGATGGTATCCTATATGTAAAGTAGTTGGCTTATTTTTAAGTATTTAGTATTATCTATGATAATGAAAAACAAAGAGTTAAAAAGTATCTATAAAGACATCTCATTTTAAAGAGTATAAAATTTCTCAATTCTGTAAATATGAATTCCTTTTTAAGAACTAGAAGCCTCAAACCTAGAAGCCTTGCTGGGCATCCCATACTCTCCACAACAGCAGGCAATTTATGACAATGCTGGAATTAAACTCCAATCGCAGTGTACTGAGGCTTGGCCCTGATGCTCATCAGCACTCACAGGTTCAAAGCACTTCCTTTAGGCTGATGACTATCTGACCACATTTCTAACCCTAACCCCTCACCCAGGATTAATTCCTGTATTTCCATTCCATTAGGAACATTCTATTTGTCTTAAATCAAACTAATCACAGCCTGCCTACAAAAAAAAAAAATCAGGTATTTAAACAAGCAAACAAAGCCAAAATTAAAAACAAGAGGGAAAGCTGCTTCCCTTTCTACCAGTACCATTTCCCAAATCCCAAAACTCATCTAGACCAGAGCTGCTTTGCCTCCTCCTTTCACTTCTCACCTTGCACAACCTCCACTTGAGTTCAATCACTAGATTTTTAGATCTGGAAGGAACTTTCAAGATAATCTAGTCTGGACTCACTGAAAAAATAAGAGAGCTGGGGCTCAGACAGCTTGGCTGCCTGCCTCAAGTTCTTCTGACCCTGAGTGTGAGACACATTCCACTATTAAGGCCTATTTAATCCCATTTTGCAAAGCCTCCAGACAAATCTATTTTCTTTGTGGAATCAGAGGATCTGGGTCTGAGTCCTTGAAAGGAGCCTGTAAGCCAAACACCTGCCTTCAGCAGGGCAGAGCTGTGAACGCCTGGGACTCTGAGTCAGCTGCCAGGTCTTCCTCCCATCCCCTCCTTGCTCACTGTGGCTCTGGCCTGCCTGGATGCGTCCCCAGCCTAGGAARGCAAATGAAAAGCAGAAACTCCCTTAAAGGCCCAGTTTGAGGCCTAATTCCTTTATTAAGGTATCTTTCCCCAACATTCCCACTGTGGGCCTTTCCTTTTTTCAACTATTCCAGAATCTTGCACACAATATATCTTTCACGTATCCTGGCACAGCGTTCTCCRAACTGGACTACTTATTATAGTAAGTGCCTGAAAAGTTGTTTCGACAATAAAACATCTGATTCTACTGGACCAATTCTGTCAATACAAGTTTTCTTAACAGTGAATGAAATGCACGATGCTTGCCCTCATGTGGCTTATAATTCAGCATTAGGAAAGTAAGATATTCAGACAAGAGAGACAATACAACATACACCATCTTGCTTAACTGCTTATTTACATCATTATTTCAACACCAGTCCACAGCTAAGAACCCAGAAACAATACTGTTCTTGTCAGGAACACAAAACCCCCAAAGCAGCAAAATGTCAAGGAGCCACACAACCGTGATTTTTCTTTCTTTTTTAATATTTCTAGTTGTAGATGGACACAACACCTATATTTTATTTATTTATTTATATGCGGTGCTGAGGATCAAACCCAGTGCCTCACACTTGCAAGGCAAGCTCTACCACTGAGTCACCACCCCAGCCCACATCGGTGCCTTTTACCAAAAGGACAGACTCACTGGGTACAACACACAGTCATGTACCCATACGATACTCTGGATTAAGAACAGATGGCACATGTGACAGTGGTCCTACAATCATGGCCTGGTGATGTCACAGACACCTTGGTTTACTGAAGTACATCTATGATGTCTGCATGACAGTGAGCCATTTCTCAGAATGTATCCCCATTGTGAAGCAACTCGTGGCTTAACTCTTGTATCTGAACAAGCTCAATTATGTGGTTTTTCTTAGTGGCTTGTTATTAGAAATTGCAAATTCTCAAAGGCTAAATGTTAAAAAGTTAAAAGACCAAAAACTCATCAAACACTGAATAGTTCTTACTGAACATAAGGACTCTTAGTGAACATAAAGATGAAAACAAAATTCAAATATGGTATTTTTCACTCATCAGTTTCTTTAAAAGGAAAATTTTAAGTACAGATTTACTAAAAATGAGAATCTGGGGCTGGGGTTGTGGCTCAGAGGTAGAGTGCTTGCCTAGCATGTGTGAGGCACTGGGTTCAATCCTCAGCACCACATAAAAATAAAATAATGGTATTGTGTCCACGTAAATAAATATTTWAAAAAAATGAGAACCCTTGTTCTGGCAAAGAATTAAGGGAAATAGTCCCCTTTAACAGTATGAGGGGGAAGGGAGGGTGTATTTCACATGGCAATTTGGTGATATGCATCTAAAGTTTTGTTCTGTATACCCTCTGAATGAGCAATTATACTCTAGGAAAATAGATTATGAAAATAATCAGAAGCAGCAATAAAGACCTATAATAAATGGATCACCACCATATTAATTGTTAATAATGAAAAATTAGAAGCAAAAATGTCCATACTAAGAGATAAATTATATTTATGTCAAAATATAACACAGTAGTTAAAAGTCCCCTCCAAGATTGTCTAAGGATATAAAGAAATACAAATGAAAAGATCATGAAGTGATATATAATGTATAATCCCAATTTCTAAACTATTAGTCACACACACACACCCTGGCCTTTCTACTTAAATGCTTATAAACTTGAAGAAGTTTTTTATTTTTTTTACTAAGTGTAACTTTCCCCATTATAAAATGATAATAGTAGTGGTACCCATATCATAAGGATGATAAAGCAATACTGACTTAAGAATGGAGCTCAATAGTAGAGTACATGCCTGGCATGTGTGATTTCCAGACACCATACACATACACACACACACACACACACACACACACACACACACACCAATCCCTATTTTGAGATTTTGCTCTGAACAAGGCATTGAAAATGTCAAAACCTCTCAAAAGGAGCTTTAAACACTCAGGCGCTAAACGCTGCACATTTAAATTACAACAGCTATCTCCTTTTCCATTTTCCCAATTTTATATTCTTAAAACCCTAATTTTATGTCATTTCCCTGCTCCAAAAATCTCTACTGGCCTCAAGATGAGGTTCTCCTCAGGACAACATAGCTTGGCCCTATTCTAACTGTACTGTGAAGTTATTAACAGTTTGAGTGGAATTGRGCTACTCATATGTGACTCCTAGGTCCACTTAGCTGTGTGACCCAGGGCCAACAAGCTAACCCCAGTATGCTTTCTCAGCCAGCTCCTCCTCTCTAAAACGGTGCGAGTATCCTATCAAAGTGAAAACCCACACAAAGTGCTTCTTTCACACACAATGCCTGGCCCAGAGATGCAGCCTTTAAACCTTAGATATTATTCTTACTTTTCCCCCAAAAAATCCATACTGCACTGGGCCGCCCCTCATGGCCTCTGCTGGTGGTGTCCCCACCCATGAAGCAATACTCCTTCACCACCACCACAGACAAAGAGTACACACTCAACACTATACAGTCAAGGTGCCAGGCTGGAAATACAGGAAAAGCAAACAGTCCCAATGCTCAGAGCTCACAGTCTAATAATGAAAGACAGCCAAAGAGAGGTGCAATGTGTCGCGGGTGCCAAGGGAAGCCCTTCCTGGAGGCAGTGGAGATACGCTGAATCCTGAAAGCTGAGTGGGTGAATCAGGCAGTGGGTGCGTGTGGAGTAAGAGCACCCAGCATGGCAGGCACAGTCACTGAACGGAGCCAGGCACTGCTGGAACACTAAGGCTGAGAGTAGGCAGAAGGAGTGGAGGCTGGAGAAGAGGTGGCTTCAGGAAAGTCACTGCACATTCTTCTGTAGGCAACAAGCTGCCACTAAATGACATTAAGTAGGGTGTGGCTGCTTGGGCTGAGAAGGCTACTTTGTGCTGTCCAACACTGAAGCCATAAAATAATGACTGATTAAAAAGTAGCTGGCGAGACTGAGGAACTAAAATTTAATTCTAATCTATTTAAATTTAAAAACTGACATGCAATTCAGTTGGTAGAAAACTACAGTGTATGTTTGGAATAATTAGGGAAAATGAATTTACCTTTTCAACTGTAACTAATGAACGCTAAATACAGATCAAGTTTTTTGGGGTTTGTTTGTTTGGTACCAGGGATTGAACTCAGGGGCACTTAACCACTGAACCACATCCCCAGCCCTTTTTTACTTTTTATTTAGAGACAGAGTTTCCTCTAAGTTACTTAGGGCCTTGCTAAAGTTCCTGAGGCTGATTTTGAACTTGTGATCCTCCAGCCTCAGCCTCCTGCACTGTTGGAATTACAGGCATATGCCACCATGCCAGGCCAGATCAAGTATTWCTGATGAAAATTTAACATCCAAACTGAAATGAGATGTAAATGTACAGTAACACGACAGATTTCAAAGAGAGTATAAAAAGTAAAATATTTCATTAATAATCTTATACTAATCATATGTTGAAACAATATTTTGAAAATATTAAAGAAGACATTAACATTAATTTCACCTGTTTCTTTTTACTTTTTTTTTTTCCCTTAAAAATTCCTGCCCATATTGGGCAGGAATTAAACAATCCTTGTGTGTCAGGCTCCTGAGGGGCTGGGATTACAAACACACTGCTTTTTTTTTTTTTTTTGTAGTTGTAGTTGAACAGCATGCCTTTATTTTATTTGTTTATTTTTATGTGGTACTGAGGATCGAACCCAGTGCCTCACAAGTGTTAGGCAAGCGCTCTGCCACTGAGCTATGGCCCCAGCCCCTTCTTTTTACTCTTTAATGTAGCTACTAGAAAATGTAAAACGACATATAGCTTGCATTATATTTCTACTAGACAAGACTGATCAAATAGATCCAAGGGGCTCAGCACAGTGACATAAGCCTRTAATCCCACTGGCTCAGGAGGCTGAAGCAGGAGGATCACAAATTCAAAGCCAGTCTCAGCAACTTAAAACAAAACAAAAACAGGCTGGGGATGTGGTTCAGTGATTGAGCACCCCTGGGTTCATCCTTGGTACAAAAAATTTTTTTAAAAAATCCAAAGGCAGAGGAAAGAGACTTGAAGCAGGAAGACCAATAATAAACCCTTTCATGAGTGTCCAGGTAAGAAAACCAAGCCTGAGTTACCTAAATTCTGCCCACCTTCAAAACCTAACTCAAGACCTACTACAATTCCAAAAGTGCCTCCCATCATAACCATTCCTAAGGAGCTGCCTTTCTCTGAATTCTTGGGATGTTTATCATCTGTAGTATTCACTACTTCCTTAATCATTTACCACCTGTCATTTTTACCTAATTTTGGGGTGATCTGTTTCTCAGATTAGACTAGAAGCTCCTAGTCCAAGGACCATAATTTAGATATCATTAATATCTCCACATTGTGTAAAGCATTTCAATACATTTCCTAAACAGAAGCAGCACAGGGCTCCCCAAATATGCCATCACACAAACATCTGGAGACAACCTTGTGACTGACTTTACCTTCCCACAACAGAAAATAGTGAGAATCTCTTTTCCTTCAGGCATTTTAAGATGATATAAATGTCAACCAAAAAACCAAGCCTGTGTTCCACTAAAGCAGTGATGTCTAATAAGCATTGATCGACTATATCGGATACTATTAGGAAACTGTCAAGATGACAGTGCAATTAGGGTTTTCACAAATTGCAAAGTCAAAAAACAAAAATTCTGATTGTCTTCAATCTCAATCTCTACCGCCAAAGATAACCTTTGCATCCTAAGCATTAAGAATTTTCAACACTCATCTTTAAATTTTAAAACTTAACCCCCAAACTAGTTCTAAYAAATAACACTTCCCAGGGAGGGAACTATATATTACTAGTAAATCTACATCTTGCCATTTTCCCATCTAAATTAAAGTAAGGTGAAGGGGGGAAAAATATGTTTTTAGTGAAATGTTAATAGTTGGAATATATTTTACTGTATCATGAATAATAAAGTAGTTCATCTACAGTACCACTGAAATTTTGGGGGAACCCTTAAATACAAAATATATTTGACAGCATACAACTTAATTGGTCAGATTTTACCAGTACAGATATAGGAAGCTAGTAGCAACTAGTTGAAAATGAGGGACACTTTATGGTTATTAGTAATCCTCTTCTTGGATTGTAACAACTTTGCAGCTGTCAGGTTTTTCAGGTTTGTTTAACATTCAAAACACAAAGCTGAAGAGTTATTAGAAATAAGAAATGAGAACCGATCTTTCTTGAATTTGTTTAATGGCTACAAAGTTGTTACAACCAAGTGCAACTTTAGTTTCTATCTCCAAACAACCTTGCAATCAAAGATGGGAGTCAGGACARCTCCCAGGGAAAAATAAGGTTGTTCAATCCCATAAAGCAGAATAAGAGGTGGGGGAAACCTGTCAAATGGTCTGGACAAAATCAAGGAGTTAAAATGAAACACTCATTTCCTTTAGCACTGTGGGAAAATCCCGGTTGCTCATAGAAAGCTGAGGAAAGTTTAGTTTGGCTGGTGTCATTTTGTTTTCCTTCCAACATCAGCACCGAGTCTGCAGGACTGCTTTCCTCCCCTCACATTACTCAGTGAAAACTCCCCCACTGAACTGAGCCGTCTTCCGGTGCAGTGCTCCCCAGCCTCCCCGACCAACACCCGCCCCCGCCGGGCTCCCTGCAAACGTGCTCAGACGCCTCTGGGCACGTTGTGGTCTCGCCGGTCTGCGGGCGAGCGCTCCAAACTCAATGGACAATGGAGCTCACCTCCGTCCACGCGAACTACAAAGCTCGGGAGGGCCATTTCCCTTTTCCTGCCCAGATGCTGTTTTCCCTCCTTGGGAGCTGGATCGGGGCTCGACGACAGTCCCCAGTCCTCTTTCCACACCTGCAGAGCTCCACAATCTCTCGATCCCCAAATAAGTTACACCGCAGCGCACAGCCCCAGAGGGGACCCCCTGAGTGCTTGGTTGGGGACCCGGGTTCCACAATCCAGGTAGGACGGGAAGGGGATGTCTCTGGACGCTTGGTCATGGCCTTCAAGGCTACCCTTCTCTGTACCCTCTCCAGCCTCAACTTATCTCCCCTCTCCCTACAGCAAGAAGACCGGGGAGGCATGGGTGGCCAGCAGCTCCACCGCCACCGCCTCCTCCAGTGGAGCCCTCGCCAACACTCACCCTTTCACCACAAAGAAGGGGTCCTCCATGGACATGGCGTCCCGGCCCCCTCCGCCACTCCACGCACAGGGCGCCCGCGCCCTTCTGGCCTCCCTCCGCCCACCCACGGGCCTCCAGGAGTTGTCGGCGCCTCGGCCTGGGGTACCCTGAGCAGCGGGCGCGCGCGCAGAGCCTGGGGTGCCCGGACCGTCGCTGGTCCAGCCCTGGATCGGCACGGCGGGTCGAATCCCGGACTCCGGCGCCAGCCCCCGCTGCAGCCTCCTCCCCCGGCTCCTCCCGGCTGGTCTGTAGGCCTGACCCCGCCCCTAGACCTTTAGCCGCAGCCAATCACGAACGCGGCCCCAGCTCCACTTCCGCACCCGCGCTCACGTGACCAACGCAGGCCCGGCCCCCAGTCGGCAGGCCGGGGGCAAGCGTCACGCGGTTCTGGGGGCGGGGCTCGAGGGTAGTGGGGCGGTCTTTTCCCGCCTCTCTGCTCCAGCTTCAGCGAGTAGGCTCTGTCTGATCCCTCAGACTGAGGCGTTCAGGTTTTCTGGAAAGCCTTTGCTGTGCCTGATTTGCATAATCCTTTTGCCTTTCCTCTATTTCTAGTACTTGATTTAGATCATAGGTGATTTATAAGTCCATGTCATCCTCGTCTTCTAATAAAGCACTCTGATACACACTGCCTGACCATGATAAGGCTGCACAACTCTTATGTAGGTCGCGCAGTGTGCTGAAAGGTTTTATATGCATTATCTCAATACTCTGTGGGGAAGGTATTATTATTTTCATTTTGCAGGTGAGAAAGTAAGTTCAGAGAGGTTTCAAGATCTGTGGTCACACAGGACCACAGAGTCTGTGCATTTTCCACCAGATGAGGTATGTGTTCTTTGCAGTGCATTACAGCTTGAGTAACTTTTTCATACAGCCTGTGGTATTTCCCAGGAGAGAGCACCTTTGAGAGACAAAGAAGGGTACAGTAGCTGCCTCTCAGCTATGAGTCAAGGCGTTCTAGGAAGCATTTTGTCCAGAACGATAAGTCAATTCATAAGTTAGATGTGAGTTTGTGGGTGGGGGGATGGGAACTTGAATTGCTGAAAATCACCAAGCTCTTTACGTGTGGTGYATTTGGCAGGGTTCTAAGTGTTATCCTGTTACTCTCACAATGAGGTAATTATTGTTATTTATTATCTGCATTTTATGAATGAGGAATTTGAGACTGGAAGATTAAGTGTCTTGCCCAAGGTCAGCAATCTCTTTGGAGCTTACAGAATAATCACACAAACACCATTGGAACCTGCACTCTATTGCTCAATTCCTCATCTTTAAAATGTAACAATAATAGATAGCTCATTGATTATAATAAAGGTTCAATTTAAAATGCATGTAAATGTCAAGGTCCTAGAGGAGGAAGGTAGTGAAGTCAAGGACACCAGTCCAGAAGCTGCTGTGGTCATTTGGCCTGAAATGATAAGGGTCAGACCAGGATGATAGCAGATGAGAACGGAGGAAAAGGAGTGAATCTGAAATATGTTTCCAAAGAAAAACAAAGCACCTAGACATGATGAAGGAATGAAGAGTTGGGGAGCAAAGAAAAGAAAAGAGATGAAAGTCAAAGAGTTTAGGTTTCTTTAAGACCTTGGAGGAGCAGGGGAGGGTAGATGTGGGCAAAGGAAGCTCTTGGAAAAGAATCGCTTAATTTGGCTATGGATATAGGGAGGAGTGAAAAGGGGTGATCATTCATTCAATAAACACATGTACATTGAGGGGCAGATGAGTACAGAGATTAAGAGTCCACTTGGAACCTGGTGGTTTGAATTTAAATCCCAGTTCTGCAGTTTCCTGTTATATCTTGGGAAATCTGCTTAATCTCTCGCTTTCCTGGACAGTGAAATGGACACCCACAGTCACAACACCTTCCCCATAGGAGGTCATGTGTTGTGCTCCTACACTGTTCCAGGCACTGAGGACACAGAAATGAGTAAGGCTAGGTCCCTGACTTTAAGGGACTCTCAGACCACCGGGAGAGACCATAGTTAAACACAAGGAGAGAAGGGCACTGTTGCCATAGAAACAAAACCACAGATACTGGGATGCAAGAGACGAGGTACACGTTTATTTGGCATGTATAATGGCTGAGGGGTTCCTAAACAATGGCTAGAAGAAGCCAGCCGAAGAGGTTCATGATGCAGGAGAGCCGTGGCAGAGGGCATTGCTGGAGTAAATGGAACGGGCAGCCAGAACTAAGGCTGGGAGGTAGGCAGGGTCAGAGTTCTGGGATCCTTTGTTTGTGATGTGAGGCACTGGGGGCACTCTCCTGTAGATCATGTGGACTGAGGGAATTGGCTGGGTCGGACTGCGGCAGCTGGAAGGTCATGGTCCAGAGAAAGGATGAAAGTGTCCTGAGCCAGGTTCACAGCAACCAAGATGGAGAGAAGGGGTGCATTTGAGAACTTTGATAGAGGCAAGATCTGTAGAATTGATTGATTGGTCCAGTGTGCACCGAGGTTAGTGAAGAAAGAAGGAAGGCTTGCAGGGTTCTGTGGTTGCAATGGGGTAGTTGGGTTCTAGTCACCAAGAAAGGAATCACAGGGGGGAGATTTGATTTGGGTGGCTCTAACTTAATTGCTAACATGTTGGTCTTCCCACCAAACTTAACTCCCAGAGGGACTAGATACAATGTTAGTACTATCTGCACCTCAAGGCCTAGCACAGCCTCTTATAATCTGATCCATGAACTTATTAATTGGACCACAAGTAAGAGGTCAGTTTTATAAGCAGAAACGGAGAGTAGAGGACAGAGGCTTGAGAAATTCTCATAATTAGAGACTTGGGAAAAGAACCAACAATAGGGAGGTAGTAGAAGACTGAGATATGAACTATGTGGGGGTCTGGGAGTGTGCCTTTATTAAATGTGTCATTTTCCTTCACCCTCTCTCAGACTAGACCTCGCCCTGCCCTGTCCCAGGAAAGGGAAGCTTTAGCTAAAATGCAAGGAGAAACAAAGGAAGTTATTTGTTGTTTTTGTTTCCCCATTTTAATAGGTCCCAGGTCCCAGCATAAACAATGGCTTGAAGTGAATACTCAGCCAAAAGCCATCTCCCCACACCCCTACCCTCACCACTCAGATTTCTGATGGAGTAAAATATCCAAGTAGTGGTTGCCTTGAGGAGGAGAGTATTGACTGGGAAGGCAGACCTTCTGGGGAGATAGAAATGCTCGGCATCTTGACAGGGTGTGGGTCACACTGGTGCACACTTGCCAGAACTCACCCAACCGTGACATTGAAATTCTGTTCAGGTTGCTGAAGGAGGCTGAGGCGCCAACTCTGACTTTTCTGTTGAGTCCTGAGAGGGCATCTAGCAGTACCTCTGGTACCTGAGTGAGTCTCCGAATGAGATAGAAATTTGAGAATAGAGAGAGAGATACTGAGGCTCAAAGGGAGTGACCGTAAATCACTCTAATGCAGGAAACACCCATGAACCATTGAAATGCAAAAAGCAAACATGAACAATTGCACTCTTGACCCATGCCCTTGTAAAATGAGGGCAGTGTGCAAGGGCAGGGAAAGCCAGCATGAAATTGTGTAGCTCCACCCAGCCTCCATCTCTAGTCCATCTCTAGCACCATTCCTCTATAAATATTAACATCACACACCAACGGGTTGCTAGCTCTCCCTCTAGAGATAGCCTACTAGAATTCTCCCTTGAATATTATTCCTTGCTTTACCCAGAAGGCATCTCTCTCTTGAGATTGCCCCTTTTCTCCCTCAAATATACATCTACTTTCCTAAATAAACCCCTGTCTATGTCTTTGACTGGCACTTGCTGAAATTCTTTTTCATCACGTATGGCAAGACCCCCACTGGTCCCAAGTTCAGTTTCCCCTTCTCTCTGGGAACTCCTTAGACCCATCCTTAGAGATATCTGTTCCTCTCTGACACCAAGTTAGGAGAATAAATGATAGAAGGAACTTCCTGGGGTCCAGCAAGGTATCTTGTGATGAAATAAGGAGCTAATGATGTGGACAATAGGATCCAGGTGGCCAGGCCACAGAGTGGGACTATTTGTATGATTTGCTTATTTCACTTAGCGTAATGTCCTCCAGGTTCATTCATATTGTAGCTTCTTGCAGAATTTCTCTTTTAAGGCAGAATGATATTCCATTGCAGACACACAGGACTTCGCTTGTCCATGCATCCTTCAGTGGACACTTGGGTTGCTTTCATCTTTGGGCTGTAATGAAAAATGGGGCTATGAACACAGTTGCATAAATTTCTTCAAAAAAAGCTTTTAATTATTTTGAATACATGCAATACATCAGTGGAATTGCTGAATTATATGGTAATTCCTTTTTAAATTTTTTGAATAACTCTTTTACATAGGGGCTGCACTATTTTACATTTCTACTAAAAAATTTGGCAACTTTTTACAATGAAATATTTTCTTGAATAATCAGGAATACAAAAGTAAAAAAAAAAAAGGAAGAAGAAAAGAAGCATTCATAAAGGAGAAGTGAGTCAATCAAGTGGTCACATGTCAAAAATAACATAGAAGTTTTAAATCTTTTTTGGAATAAGGCAAGTTAGGTATAAGGTCTTTGCTTAGTATCTGGATGGCCATCTTAAGTGACACCCACCATTTTTAGGAAAAAGTTTTGCTTTCCCATCCAAGGGCCTTTCTGAGAAAGGCTTACCACTCCCTTATACCAACCCAAACCCTAACCATGCACATTAGGACCCACCCAGCTCTGATTCTTGAGCCTGCCCCGTAGAAGTCCCAGAATCCAAGCCTGTTTTGCCTCTCTCCACTATAGAGAGATGGCCTTTATTTGTCAGCTCTGACAAATAAACTCTCATGTATATCTTTGCCTGGTCTTCATCTTTCTCACTTTCCTGTCTCTCCTTCCTCGCTTTCCCTTCATTTTGGTGCTGAAATTTAGGAACAGGTTCCCCTGAGTGCCCTCTCCCCTCTTCAGGGGTCACTTAGCATCCCTGGGCTCCAAACTGAATTCTATCATGGGACCAGGCCCTCCCTTCTGCTGAACACCCTCTCTGCACCCACCACTGGATATTCCAGGTAAGACCCCTGTCTCCAGTTGACCTAAACAACCTACAGGTCCTGAGAAATGTTCAGCACTCCCAGGGTCACCGCATGGTTGGAGGCACTCCCAGCCACAGCTTTCACAACTACGGCTGATCCCTATCAACTGGGTCAATAGATGGTCTTTTATTTGGGTCCTGGGTTTTGAGAAAAAAACACTGAGTTGATTGGGAGTTG